GCCTGGTTAATTTAAATTTAAATGTCAAAGGCCAGAAGGTGACAAATACATATATATATATATATACACAGATATATTAAAAAATACATATATACTGTAAAATCCGCCAATGGCCCATTGTGTAATTTCAAGGTATGGCATATTCCAATCCGCCACAGGGTCCCATATCTCGCAGGGCGCGGTGTGGCGACCCAGAACCGCGGTCGGATGCGAGGCCCGCAATACGCCATGCCACAGAAAACGGACTTGGGGTGGCTTGGAGGATGTTTTTGCAGATTGCCCCCTTGCAATTTTACAAACCTCAAAAATAGTATTGTACTAAATTCGCTCCGTTTGAGAGATGTTTTGGGAGAGTACAGCGGCCACATGGCATCGTGACGATGTGGTGTGGTTTGCACGATTTTTGGTTGCACTATCCAGAACTTGTCTGCGGCCGGTCACGTGTATTCCCATCTCTGCAGATTGCCCCATTATAATTACGAACTTCAAAAGAGTAATGTACTAGAATAGATCCAGCAGGGGAACCAGCGAAATCTACCAACCCGCGCATTTTTGATTATTTTCGTTGTCCAGAATGCAAGGATTGAGCTGCAAGCGGCTGCAAGTTTTGCCTTTTCCCCCACTCGAGGTACTTTGGTACTTTGGCTTGGGGGGCATTTCCTTTGGACTTTGGAGGGTGGATTCCCTCAACCTTGTTGGTGCTCAGGAGGGAATGAGGGAATGACCTTAAACCATCCCTTGTGGTTTCTTTTAAGGGGACTCCTGCTGAGCACCAGCAAGCAACAACAAGGGCAAATAGTGCGTCATGCTTCCCACGACTTGAGATCGTTGGTTGTTAGCGCCTAAGATTTACAGCGTCAAGTGAGGATTGATTTGTGGTTTTGTCGACCATGCCGTCCAAGTACAAAACCACAGGGAAAGGCAAATGCCGCACGCCGATGTGCTCCTGTGGACGGAGAGAAAACCTAAAAGAGGGTCCTGTCTATACATCAGTGGCTGAGTTGACGGTGAAGTGGCAAGCAGAGCCAACAGCGTATTGCTGAACATGGCGCACCATGCTTACATTTGCGTCAGCTACAGCGAAATCGACTGGAAGGCGCTAGGTTGTGTCTTGTCAGGGATCGCTGAGTTTTTGTTTTAATGTAGATGTGTCTTTGGTTGTAGAAAATTGCAGTTGCATGTTCAATGTTCAATGTTCACTGTTACATGTTCCAATGCTGGCCCACATCAAGTCTTGATCTCTCGTTTTCTGTATTTACAGGCCCTTCGGGCAAGTGGGTATGGGCAATATTTTCTGTTGGAGTTCTTATCGACACCTTTTATGCAGCACTTGTTCTATTTTGTTATCATTACGTTGCCCACGATTGTGATTGAATTGTCGTTAGACTTCGTGAATACCAGGTTTTTATTATGTCGCATGCTAGTCCTCGTGCTATTTGCAGGGGTCCTCCTGTTCATCCAATCCAGGTTGTTCTCGAACAGGGCACAGTTGCTGCTTGGGGTGTTCCTCAAATGCACCCCAGCAGAACAAGATACCGTATCTCCTTTTTGGGGTGCTGATTCTTGCAGGGCTCCGTTCACACCCGCCTTGGCTTGAGGGATCTTTATATGAGTGTGTGTGTGTGTGTGCGTGTTGGGAGGGTGCCCTCTAAATAGTTGTTTTAAAGGGAGGCAAAAGGAAATCCCGCCATATTCATGTTTTTCCACCTATTTAACGTGTTTTTTCTCTGGCTTCCACCTATTTTATCTTTTCTTTAAACGGAAACACCAGGAAAAGCCCGGCTTGTCCTTTTCTGTGCAAACCCACTTGAATGCATCCCATGGTTTGATCTGTCCGGACGATCGATCCGCCAGGCCCGGAGCCAGCGAGGCGAAGCCAGCTGGCCTAGGGAGCTTGGGACCGTTCTCGAGATGTGTCTTTGGTGCATTTTGCCAACGAACGATGTTTCTTTGTTTCTTTTGGTCTAATGTTTCTTTGCACATCGCGAGATGGGAACGTTTTCCCAAGATTTCCCAAGATGTTCCCAAGATGCTACCCAGCACTTTGGGTGCTAAGAACAGACATTGTTTTAATGTACACTCCCACCAATACTTTGGTGCATTTTGCCAAGGGATGTTAGGACTTTAACTGTTTGCCAACGGATGGGTTTTCCGTTAAATTATGTTAAACCACTAAAAGTTACATATATATATATAAAGAAACAAAATATTTAGCAGGGGAGAAAGCAACCGACGTTCACTTTTTGGGGTTGGTTGCCTTTGCAATCCTGAGATGCACTCTGGATCCGAATCCACTGCTGATGGGTGGCGTATCAACCAGAATTCAACTGGGGTTTCAATCCTGATCTTGTTTTTAGCCGTGGTGATCCTCTTTTAAAGCACTTGTTGGATTATCCTGCAGAAGTTGATGCACAAAAGCTCATTCAATCCATTTTCTGCGAGCATTGGCAAATGCAAAGCCGATGCTTTGCAAGGGTTTATCCTCCTTTGCTGGACACCGGGTTTGAGCCAACGAAGAGGGAGCCAGGCTGCGCCAGAGCAAAGTATTCCAATTCAGGGTTCCAATTTAATTGTTGGATAGGAGGAGGAAGCGAAATCTATCAGGGGGCTTCTCCAGGCTCCAGGGATAGATGATCCCCCCCCGATGGCCCCTTTAGAGGTCCACGACCCATTAGAGAGTACTCAACTAATATCATATTTGTTTCCATCCTCTCTTCACTTTGCCTTTGCAACCAACGCGAATTGATTGGATGAGTTGCTTTTGTTCCCTTTTTTTTCTCCTTTTTTGTTTTCTTCTTCTGGGATTTGGAGCCGAACAGGGTGTGAACAATTTGGATCAGTTCACTTCCATTCGCTTCAGTTGTGTTTCCCCCCGTTGGTTTTAAAGTGTTTAAAGGGGCTCTGTCACTGGACTTGAGCAAATCCAGGTCCAACGGGCTTGCAAAAGCTGAAGAGCTCTTTGAGTATTTGGGTGAGGCACCCCTGCATTTCGGGTTAGGAAATGCCCAACCTGGGGTGCCACAAACCAGCGTTGGTTGTTTTGTGTCTTCTGGAATGGGGAAGTCCCCTAAATGCGCAAACTGGTAAGCCATGAATTGGTCGCTCGGAGCCTTTCCTCTGTGTTCCGCGCGGCGCAGGGCAGTGTCCTGAGTGAGGCGCAAAAAGCCTTTGCCCTAGTTGCTTGCTTCGGACCGGGGGGCTGTGGCCTTCGCATTTGGCGTAAAGAAATGACCGGGGAAAACTGTCCCCGTTCGGCACGCATTCCTGAGCATAGATCCGTTGCTTTTGGACGGAGTGTGGTCAGGCGTGTTGGCCACACATACTTTTCCCGGGCTCCAGTGAATGGGAGCTGATTGAAACTATGATGCATGTCGAAGTTCCTTGGATCAGAATAAAGCATGATGTTTGGTGGGGGGGTCTAAAGATAGATAAGCCGAGTGCTCCGTCTGAGATCCATAAACAGGGTCCTTCCTTCCCCCCGCAACCCGCGAAGACTTACTGGGCATGATTTCGACCCTGACAAGGGTCTAGCAAGAGGTACACTCTCCTAGGCACTTAAGTCACCAATACTCCAAGGAAGCCTTCAATGCCACGCATCTCGTCCCTACCCTAATGCATTTCCTTTGGACACAGGGAAAATGACTCATCTTCTTAAGCAAATGGGAGTAAACGGGGCAAATGAGACCCCGCCCCCAATCTTCTCAAGCCTTTGGAGGAGAGGTTGGAGTTGCAGGTCGGGGGGGCCGGGATGGCTTCGTATGGGTTCCAGACCTCATTTGTGCTGGGATTCACGTCTACCTCACTTCATTTCTTCCAAGTACGGCCTCGATAAGGCCTTTATTTGTCCTTTTGAGGGGACTTAAGCCTTTTCTTTTGAGGGGACTTGAGCCAATGGTGGGTCTGAGCTCGCGCGAGAGCCAAGCTTGAATCAAGGTGCTCGAGAAGATGGAGCGGCTCGGCTCCCTCCGGAGCAACCTGCAGTGAGTGCCTGTTCGCCTCTCTGATTTCGCTGCGACCGTGGGGAAAATCCGGGCAATAGAAGAGACAGAGAGAGAGAGAGAGAGAGAGAGAGATGTGTTTGAAGGAGACATGTCAGGAACTAATTAGGTTTGATTCAACGAATTCCAATCGCTTGAGTATCCAGATGTGGCCAGCCAAAAGGCTTGGGAGGATGGTCGGTTCACGTCTGTGTCCAATATATTTTCCACGCTGACAGACAGTCTCAAACCCGAAAGTTTCTACTAATTGCGCAACAACTCTCCCACAGATCAACATACCCTCCCCCCCCAAAAAAAAGAGAGAAGCAAGCAACATTTTGAGACGACTTTGCTCTTGGGGGCCCCTTGTGTGGGTTCCATGCAAATCTAATTACAGGGATGAATTGTGCAGCCTGTTTAGAGGCACATGAGAGGAGGCCGGGGCTAGTAAGTTACAGCCGGGGCTAGAAAAAAACACCGCCTCGCCTCAACCCTTTTTCATCACTTAATAAGGCATTCAATTACAATGTTTGGCATTGTTTCTGGCCAGATCGCCAGTTCATTAGATCATCCAATGGGGTCATCTTTTGGGTGCAATCCCCGGGTGAACTACAAACGGCCGATTCCTAACTCACGGACTTGACGCCGTTGGAGGAAACCGAAGAGGAAGGGGGGAGGAACTGGGGAGGTGAAGGGGGGGGGGGGGGGATTGGGAGTTGCCCCGAGCTTGGCCCAAGCAAGACAGCGGCTAGAAGATCAGGCGAAAAGCTTCGTTTGCTGAATGTTCATTTGACCCTCCCAGGTTCTGGACGTGATTTACTTGTGCTATTCGGAAACAACAATAGCTTGGGGACTTGTTTGGCCAACGGTGGTGAATAGCCGGCTTTGCCTGAGGTGTGTGTGTCTGTGTGTGTGTGTGTGTTGTTGATGCACACCTTCAGCTACTTGAGATGAATCCGCCCTGATTCATGCCTTCGCGCGATTTTCCCCGTTTCAACACGCACACAAACAGTAACACCCAAAGGAGACGTAGAGCGCACTCTTGCCCAGAGAGGCAGCATGGATGGGCTCGTGGATGGCGCTCTTGGGCGGGTCTTCCAATACGCAGAAGGAGCGGGACAGCCGTTTTACTTGTGACACTCTATGGGTCCCCCCCTCCTTGTGCAAGCAAGTCTGGCAGTATGTCAAAGCCCGGAGTCATTTAGGGATTCTTGTCTGGATTGTTAACGGTTTTTTGGACACGCACCCATATTGGTCTCAGCCTTCTCGCAGGGGAACCCTGCATGGTCTCATATTTCGCTGGCTGATCCTCTTTTTGCCAAGCGCAGGGTCTCCGCAGAATGATCCTTTCTGGGGTGGCCGGGGAACAATAGTTGGATCGCCAGAGATTGCCAGGGATCGCCAGGGATCGGACCAGGAGTCACTCGACAATTGGCTTCCTTTCTGGGATTTGAAGATTTGGAGATCGTTTTCATGCCGAATGTTTGTTTAATTTCCTTTGTCGCCAACAGCACGTGTTGGAACCGCAGCCGCGGCACACGGCGCAGGACAGGTCAGGCATTTCTAACCAAAGAAGGGGGATTGACCCAACTAACTAAAGGGCACCGAACCTCTTTGGAGCCCCTTTTAAACTGCTCCGATTCTTTGTGGGGTGCTTGCAAGTTTCTAACCTGTTGAGAAAATACACGCCAGTCTCGCCAAAATCGGCGGCATTTGACCCATTGGTGTTTCCAGCTTCTGGCAATGGTCCAATCCCTGCTTTGGATTTCGCCATCGCAGGATACGATGAGTTGCTGGCGTCCATGTTTGTCTGCAGCCACTGGAGCCGGACCATCACCTGCAACGCAGACCTGCAAGGCTTCGGGGGTCACGATTTTCGGCAATTTCGCATGGAGAGCTGGGGCGTAGCGGGAGGCGCTAACCCCCGTCAAAAGGCTGCGGCGGGCAGATTGGGTTGCTATAGGTTCGGTACGGAACCTAAGAAGTTAAGAGGCAATCTGCCTTCTTCGGCCTCGTTTTGAGACCTCTGCAGGGCTTTGGTACGTGGGAAGTGGTGGAATTCAAAGAAATGCCTAGGTTGCCGCTGAACCCAAGGCCTACGGCAGGACCTTGCTCGCCGATGCTGCCTCCCAGAGACGCTGAGTGCAACCTTGGAGGCCGTGCCTCGGGAGCTTACGGAGTTCGGGCCCCTTTCAGCTGATATCTTAAGGGACGCCACAAGGAAAACACCCGCTTGAGGCGACACCTATTTCGAGAAACACTTAAGGTAGAGCTCGGATACCCTACCACCCACTGACATGATACATAAATTTAGTGCAACACAACCCCCTGTGCATGTATATAAATCTAAAAGGAAAGCTTGGGGTTGGGAGGGATTATCATCAACCTCTGGGGCTTGAGACAGCCAGGAGAATAATGAGCATGACTCGTGACCCACAAAAAGAGGGTTGACCGTGGCACATTTCAGCTTGTGGTTCGGGTTAGGAGAAAACAGTACTTAGATAAAGAGTAGGTGGCTTCCATGCCTGAAATCTGTGAGTCGTGTTGGTACCACCATTGTGCCGAACACCATTTTGCTTAGGTCCTTCTCAACATGGCCAACTCCAGGAAGTCCTCTGACTCCTTTCTTTTGGGTAATGACCCCATGTGTTTGTTTGTTTTTTGTGGGAAGGCTTTCATTTTTTTTTTGGAAAAGTTTTCTTGTGGGAAGTGTTTTTTGTGGGCAATGACCCTAAACCCCTGGTTTTTGTGTTTTTTGTGACCCGCAAGGAAACTCCAGGAAGGGTTTCTTGGATCCGCGCACTTCCTGCAAAATGTCCTGGCCGCAAAGGCGTTTCGCGCAGATGGCGCCCCAAATTGCACGGCAGGGTCCAACAAGAAAGCCAAAAGCTGCCCCCATCCAGCAGCGCGCAACCCAGCAAATTTCAGGTACGCCTTAAATTGGTGGTTTGGATTGGTGGTTTGGGGACTTGCTGCTTTTTTGAAGCCACATGGGAAAAACACCCCTCAAACCACGAACTAGAGGAAAGCTGAACATTGAGCTTGAGCGCATTCCGGGGTTCATACCTGGCAGCCTCGGAATCGGGAAGCCGCGTTCCCTTCAACGCCTCTTGGTTTGACTTATTTGGGGACGCTCCCTGAAATCAGCTCGTTGCTTTCCAATTTTCGTGCTTTTGCAATGCTTCAGGCAGTTGCTTCTTTGGAGGGGCGGAAGCCTTTTGTTACAGCATTCCCAGAATTTGGGGCTGTTTCATCTTGCCCTGCCAAGGACTGGGTGGAGTTTTGTGCTCAACAGCTGCACTTGCAGACGCTGGTAGCTGGAAAGTGCCTCACTCAGGGTTTCTCACTTCTCAAGTTTCTGGATGACTTTTTTTTTAAGGAAGCAACGTTGATCTGCTTTGGTGGGGGGGGACCTCTCGAAATCCATTTGTGGCTGCCAGTTTCCTTCAAACACGTCCCAAGGTGCTTTCCCAGCGCGGGTCAAAGCAAGGTTGTTTAGTGCCTTGTTATGTTTCCAGGCTGAAACTTATGTTTTGAGAGCGCTTCAGATGCCCGGTTCGATTCCAACTGTTCCTTAGCGCTTTGGGCCAGATTCACATGCAAATCCTGCCCAATGCTCTAAATCCGACATCTCGGCCTTGGTTTCCAGTTTTGGTCTAGAGCCACAGCTCCCAATTGATGAGTGATCATTTGCCGGTCCTTTGGGGCACGTGAACGTGTACACACGCTCCTCATGTCCGTTACGTCAAACGATTAGCCTTGTATGTCCAGTTCCGTCAGGTGAAAGTTGGTTGGGCTGGAGCAAGTGGGCATGTGTCACACAACAAGGGGACCTGCAACATGGTGGCGTTCCTTCTGGCTCTTCAAGGTCACCTGAAAATGGTACCCCCAAACAAACACCTAACCGTAACACACCCACACACACGCACACACACACGCACATGTTCCGGGCGGTGGCGGCGTTCCCCTCTTCAGGGTCCATGTATTATCTGGTGTGGTACTCGCAAGATTGCATATTCTAATAATCCAAGTTGAATTTTGAGGTACATGGGCTCCGTGACGCCGGAGAATCTGCCGCGGCATGTGCCCCCGGAGGCCGGTCCCAGTGGAGGTTCCTGTAAGGAGTTTGAAAAACGAGTATTGTCAGCTGGGAAGCGAAACAGCTTGCTGGGTAGCAAACAGGTCAGACTTGTTAGCTGAACAGCACGACATCACTGTATAAACAAGATAGTGAAACCGATAAGGTATTGCACAGAAACGCGCAGGTTGTAGACTGGGAGCAGCCCATGGACGCCGTGGCAGACCTCTGGCCCATGACCACCGCGGAACGCGGCGACGGCAAGTCCTCGGTCGGAAAGGTGCGGCACCGCTTCGTGGGCCACGAGCAGCAGGAGACGGATCGCCGGCTGTCAGGTCTGGGCGAAAAAGGCTGAAGTGACTGGATTGTGTTTTTCCAGAGAGTCTGCTTGGCAAAGAGGTTCAGATACTCGCGAATGAGCTGGTTTTCTGTGGGATTTTTAACAGACCTCTTCTGGTTTGGGGGCGGCACCTGCGGAAACCCTCGATTTCGAGTCGGCTTTTATTGGGTATTGTTTTAACCTCCTTGGTCGGGGCTCCGGTTTTTTCTTGTGTTTCTATTATTCTTATCCAGCTAAATTGCCCCCCTATCGAGCAAACCTGACCCACTTGTCCCTGTGATGAATTCGTGAGCTGAACTCTTCCTTATTTGGAGTTCACCATATGGTTCAGGGGTTTGGATGTCAAACCTTTGATGCAACCAACCGAAAAGAAACTTCCGCAAGGGGGACATACCAAAACTCTGTTGCGCCCAGTTGCCGGCTCAGCCGATTGCCTGAAGTGGATTGGAGGCCCAGGATTGGGGCTTCAGAACAAAGAACCCACGCTTTAAGGGGCGTTTGTGTGTGTGGCGGATGGAAGTCGTGCACAACTCAGAATAGGAGATTCGGGCATTGAACGCTCATTGTGTTGAGCTGGCATTTGTGGTGATGACAGCGGGGAAAGGACGCATTGTGTGTCTTGAAGCTGTTTCGACGCAACGACTGCCCTGGTAGATTCCCTACACATGTTATGTTCAGTCTTGATATTTCCCCTGGCTTGCGAAGCAGCAAACCCTGGAAGGACCCTCAATTTGTGCCGTACTTCAGCAGCGTGTCTTTTGCGGGGTACCCCAAAAATGAGTAGTTTTCGAGCTTAAAGTCACAGGAAGACAGAAAACCATTTTGCGGCGAATCCCAAAAGGACACAGGCCCACCATTTTTGTGGTGCAAAGTGTTTAGACTTATTCTGGCCAATCCACTCAGGAAGTGAGAGCGTTCAGTGGAGAGGAGCTGTGGGAGATTGGCTACGAGTGGCTGGTGCTGGACATCCGGCGTCCCTTTCACAAAGCCCTTTGGAAGCAGATCCAGCGGACAACGCAGCTGGAGGCGCGACCAAAGCCCGCGAGAGGCCAGTGAGCGTGGGGCTTGGTTTGAGGGGTGGTGCCAATTCGAGTGGTTTGCGTTGTGCTTCCCTTTGGAACAACCCCAGGGGAGGGTACCCTCCCGCCAATCAACGTGGAACCTGACAAGGGGCCCCTTTGAAAGGCATGTTTAGGACCCTGTTCGATGTTAATTGGTGGGAAGGTGCCCTGCAAAGACAAAGGTGTGAGGGAGCATTTTCCCTTTTCGCTTGGTGGGTTCGGGGTTCACCCACTTTTCCTGGACTTTTTATGCTTTGTGGTGGGTAGGAAAAAAGCTTGGACTTTTTGGGGCCATTCACTCATGAAGTGAATTAAAATGGAACCAACCCCAAAAGACAGCGGTGTCCCTTCAAAGGGCCAAGGGGCTCGGATGCTGAGTATACGTTGAGGCTCCACAACCCCCCCCCCCCCCCGGCAGTTTAGCCTGGAACGCACCCCAGTCCGTTTGCAGAGGACACACATTTTGTGGGATCGGATTTTGGTGGGGGAAACCCACTCCGAGCCTCCCAACAAATAACCAGCAAAGACCATCACGCAAAAACCTAGAGCTAAAAGCCCAGAGGAAAAACCAAAAGAACGGTTAGCTACTACTGTGGCAGCTGCGATATACTGGATGTGGTTGAGCCAACCTGGCTATGAGGGTGTGTCTCAAAGTACGGGCCCAACTTCTTGGGTCCCTTCAAACCAAGCTGAAACAGGCGCCCTCCAAAACGCACACACTATAAAGGCTTATATCATGGTCTGACAAATCTGGACAGGGATCCTTGTCTGCGGAATGACCTAAATCCCGCATTTCGTACCACACCCGAATGCAAAGTAATCAGTACCTTGCAAACAGAACGAAATCAAGTCTTGACTGAAGCAAACATCAACGTTTCCCGTTGTATTGGGCTCTCTGGCCTGCTTGACCCCAGTTTGACCCGTTAAGCACTTATCTGTCCAAAAGACGATTCACGCCAAAGAAGTGCCAACCACCAAACATGGGTTCATTTTTGCAATCCTCTTGGGGAATGAAGGCTGTGTGTTGCGTTTGCGGGTCGCGTATGGCGAGCGAGCTCCTTTAGCCTCACGGCAGCCCCAAGCCACCAAAACGGTCCCAAGAAGTCCAAAGTCCAACTTCAGGAGTGAGTTGTTTTGTTCCAGCCACCCAGCGAAGGCCAGCCGTTCATACGCCTCAGAGTTTCCACCTCAGCTGTTGCCCCCAGCAGCCAATACCATGTTGAGATGGTTCACATGTGAGCCTTAACATGTATAGGGCTAGCCAAACATCGTCCAGGCTTGAAACCACTTAAAACGGTATCCTCAAAGAAAGACCACGCCCACAAGGAAGCACAGAAGGTCCCTTGGAAAAGGGCTGATCTTTTTGAAGTTGACCATTTCTAGCTCCAACTCCTTTCTCTTGGCAGTGGTTACGCATGAAACTGTTTTGTCGACTTGCCCAGGGACAAATGCAGCCCGTGCGTTCAACAATATGGCAGCAATAACAGGTCAAAGATCCAAACCGCGAAGCCAGAGTTGGTTATGAACCACTGAAACCAGATAGGAAAAACCCGCATTTGGGGGGTCATCCCTACTTTAAGGCACATACCGAGGAAACAGAGGAAACAGAGAACAGAGGCTTGAACAAAGCAGAGGAGCAGAGGGAACAGAGTGAACAGAGGGCACAGAGGATTGAAGAGAGTGCGTCGGCGACTGGGTGCACCAGCTCGTTCGCATGAAAACTGTCGCCTCGGAAGGCGCCGGCAGCTCGCTGGGAAGACGGGGATCTGCACTGCGGAGTGCGGAGCAGTGCCGATTTCAGGCGCGCAGTTCAGGTTGGTTTTTCTTTTCTAGGTCCCCAAGTAGTGCCCTCTTAAAAAAGGGTACCCTTTTTCTAGCCTCTCTACTGGAGGACCTAGTTTTGGGAACCCCCCAACTTGATGGCCATTTGGTTGGATTCTTTTAGGGAACCCCCAACTTGATGGCCATTTGGCTGTGGGTCAAAACTGTTTTGGTATCCCATTTTGGGGTAGCTGAATTCACCACGCATTTTAGAACCTATTTTAGTGGGGGGGATTGGGATGTTCACTGGGGGTACGGGATTTTGACCCATGACCATTTGGTTGGATCTTTTGACTGTGACTTCTTGGGAAACTGTGGGTTTTCCATCGAACCCACAAAACGTTTCGCTTTTTGTGCAGAGGGTTCAACAGCAACCAAGTTTTGGCTTCCCTTTGAGACCACCAAAAAAGGGATGCTTGGTCCGAGACGTTGGTTAAGAAGCTCCCACTTCACTGTTCATTGCATGTGTTGCTCGTGTTTGTTGGTTCTGTTCAGTTTTTAAGGTGGGATGACTCGTTCTGCTCGCTGCAGTGACATAACAGTCAGGAGTTCAGAGTCTTGACGGTGTTTGGGAGCCTCAAACACGGGTAGGTCTTTCCACTATGGGTTCGTCGTTGCAAGAGTCCTTACGAAGGTTGCATCAGGCTCTGACCCTTACGCATGTTTCCCTTCCACTTTCTTTTGAGTTTCCATCATATTGAACCAGCCAACTACATATTCATGACATTTGGTCCTTTTCAAGAATGTGTTTGAAACCCTCGAACCAACTCCAAGCGAGCACGGGATAGACAGATCATGCTTGCACTTGATCTAGCAGGGTGCTTTATTTCACCGTATGTGCATCCGGCTGAGTGCTTTCACAGAGTTGTATCATATCCCTTTTTGCATCCCCAGCACATTTGATGTTGCGATCACTGTCCAAATCTTGTTATAGTCGCCTCTCCACAAACATGTGTGTCTCGAGATGGGATGTATGCATATGTGCAAGAACACAAACTGGTGATGGCAACTTGTTTTTCTGTCACCGCCACGGGATGGGACAAGCATATGTATATATTATTTCTGGTTGTGCTGGCAAGTACTTTGACTGTGGGGTGTGAAACAAACTTCCTGGATGGAGTTCAGTCTCTTGAGGCCAGCTGTGGATCCCAGCTTCCTGGACCTATCCGACATCATCTTCGTGATGTGCCCAGCGCCATGGAAGCGTACGGGGAATGAGGGGTTTCCGGCTGTGGGTCAAACATAGGTACCCAAAATGGAACCCTAACAAATGGAAACATGGGCGATTTAACCTGCGGTCCCCTGGTGATTTCATTTTGACCCATACCCACATGAGGATAGCGTCCGTTTGGAGCTTGCCTGTGACACAAGGCGGGAGATGGGGCAAACGACACGGCGGTGTCGTGGTCCTTGAAGCTCTTCGCCCCCTGCGCCTGGATGCTGTCCAAGCGCGATTTGGCTCAAAGAGGCTTTACCTTGGGGGGGACAACGGGGCCCGAGAAGAGTCCTCAGTTGAACGAGGGATCCAGTTGTGTTTGTTCATCCTTCCTATGTTTTGACGTTTGCAAACCTTCTTATGTTTTGATGTTTCAACATTTGCGCTCATATTGAGGCTCCAGCTGGTTGGAGCAGCTGGATCACCAGGCGCGCATGCGTCACGAAGGCGGCGGGACGTGAGACGTGGGACGGACGTGGCGGATGAACCGCTGGCCTGGCCAGAGGCTTCTTGCATTTCCTGAAATTAAAAGCGGAGATTTGGTTGATATACCCAAAGGGAGACCAGAACATGGGTCATTTGAGTATGCTTTTAGGCCTATGTTCCATTTGCATGACGAGACGATCTATGTTTGATTGTTCAACCTGTTGGTTTTATTTCACTACTGGACATAGCTTCTTATTTTTCCTGGGGGCGAACAAGCAAAGGAGAAAATAGGAGGGGATCCTTTTGGCTTCCCTCTAAGACGCCCAAAAAGGGCACCCTCAAAAACAGCACACACACACACACACACACATGCACCATCCACGGGAACTGCTCAATGTGGATTCTAGACAGTCCGCTTCTAGCGTAAAGGCAAATCCCTCCTACACGGAACGCCAAAAACCTATTCGTTTGGGAGCCTTAGGTCGGTGCCTGGCTAAACCAGAAGACCAGCCATTTGAAAGGATACTCTGAATTCGACATTCAGATTTGAGGCGCACTTGCAAGTTACCAGGAATATGCAACAACACAACATTGATTCAGAGAAATGCCAAGGACAGCTATGCTAAGGGTAGTGGTGGGAAGGCTTTGACTCTTGGTTTTGAATAGCTCCTTAGCACTAGCCACTGAGATCGGTCGTTAGACTACAAAGTCTCGCTTTAGTATGACTCTAAATCAGCACAAGTACGGCACTGATGGCTTGCATGCTGGCCTCAGTGTCAAATGAGCCACAATCAAAACCTGCGTCAAGTAAGGGACTGTCCCAGAAATAGACTGGTGCGGGACAGTCCAGTTTTTGGCCGCACCAAGGCCATATTAAGGTCTTGCTGAGGAAGAGGGCTGCCGGAAGCCTTGAGACAGAGCACGCCTGCTTGCCAACACGAAGTCAAACGGAGGTGCCCTTGTGATTGTTTCGTGTCAGTTCATTGGTGTCAACAGCTAAGGGTATAAGGGTATCTAGTCCCCATTCAGTTCAACCATTGTTCCTTTCGACCGGTCGCTTTTGGAAGCAGTTCAGGTGGCGTTCGGAAAAAAAATAAGCAAAAGGATCCCCGGAAATGAGAAAGTTGTGTAGAAAATGCTTTGCCTTTGGGTTTTTGTGCCCCTTCGCGCAAGGCCTGAGGAGTTGTTTTGTGTCAGGGGTACATCCCAATATGGACCTGGAGGCGTAGGCGTGAAATGTCATTTGATGTTGTATTGCTTCAATTGGGGCCGATAGGTGTGCCCTTGTTTGGATGACGTAAAACATCTTTTTTGGGGGTCATGTTGAACCCTGAACTGAGTTTACGCATTTGGGCCGGCACATGTGTTCTTCCCACAGTTTGTTTCTTTGTTTCCAGTTTTTGGGTCAGTTTTTTTTGGAAGGCCAAACAACTATGTTCACATGCCGAATGAACCGAGTTGTGGACATCGGGGCAGGGGCCCCCGTTGCAGGCACGGCGGCCGCGCTGGTGCTCGGCACGCAGCTGGAGAAGAGTTTGCGCTTCAGTGAGCTGGAGCAGTGGCAGGAGGCGAATTCGGGGGAAATAAGGGGCGAATCAACACCAGCTCGGACGGGGTTTCTGAAAGTGGCTAGGTTTTGAGTGGTCATTAGTTTGAGTGTTTCGAGAAGTTATCAAAGTCAGAAGCTGGAGTGGTGTCCCTTGAACCCACCACTTAGAGGGTGACTCTGATAGTGGTATATTCATGGGGCCGGTTTGGAGGCGTGCTCCATGTTCTTTCTTGGGGTCGGGTGTTCCTTCACCGTTTAACGGGCAATTTTGAGGAGGTCACTATGAGGCGGGGGCAAATCCCGGAGGTTTGGTGAATTGGGTCTCCAAGGCGCAGCCCAAGGACGGTGTCTAAAGGCTATTTGGTTGGGTTCTTTGTTCGCACCCAAGGAGAGAAGCAAATCATAAAGAAAGAAGAACAAGAAAGAAACAGGTACAGAAACAACGAAAGAAATAATGAAGGAGCTTACGAGAGATAAAGAAAGAACAAAACAAAGAAAGGAAGGAAGAAACAAAGAAACAAAGAAATAAAAACAAAAGAGACTCAAATAAAGAAAGAACAACCAAATAAAGAACTCAATGAACAAATGAAGGAAATGGATGGATGGATGGATGGAAGGAAGGAAGGAAGGAAGACAGGAAGGAAGAAAAGACGAAAGTTAGGAAGGGAAGGACAGAAAGCAACATAGAAAAGAAGGGTTGTTATTCTGCATGCCCTGCAGTGGCCACGGCAAACAGGCTCCGTTGTGTTGGCATGCGGTTTGGGAGTTGGCATAGTTGGTCAATACTCCTGGCCCCCAAATGAGCATGGGTAACTTATCCCATTTAGTGGGACACATCATCTTTTTCGTGGTTTTTCAACCAGGGGCCATCCCATGTTTACCGGAGCCCTTGGACCAATCCCCATTTGACAAGGTCTTTTCCCTTGGACCGGCGGCACTTTTCGCCAGGTGGGCAAGTCTGTGCCGGAGGCTGCGGCGGAGCTTCCTGCCACCGGCAAGCGGCGGCGGAAGAAGTGCACGGAACCGAGGGCGCCGGGGATGCACTTTGGGCGCTAAGTAGCAGCATTTTTTTACTGTAGACTCCCACCAATTCTTTGGTGCATTTTGCTTGGATGTTAGGACGTCAGCTTTTTGCCAATTACAGGGTTTTCCATTAAACCACTAAAAGTTAAGCTTTTAGCAGGGGGGCAGAAAGCAACCAAGAATTAACATGGCAAGGGGGTGCTGGACCAGTTCCCTTTAAAAGGGACTGGGTTCCGAACGTCAGCTTCCACGTGAAAAGGGTGGGAGGCTTCAAAGGGAACCTGTGGGTATGGGTCAAGCTTAAACCATCAGCATATAATCCGTAGGATCAATCGTCCCTGTTTCCATTTCGGGCAAGCCATTTTGGGTGCTTGGTTTTGACCCACACCCATGTTTAATGTACCCAAAGAGAACCAAAACGAGACGGGTAATGTTTAGTCGTTCTTCCAGTCCCCTTATTTAGCACCCAGTCCCTACACCTGCCAATTTCTTTGGCAATCCCACTTACGGCTAAAACGAGCTCACCGTGATGTAGATCCTCTACCTGGGGAGCCTTCAGGTCATGGAATTATAGAATTTGCAGATACTTTGCCAGTTTGGGGCGCCAAATGGCCAACCGTGTTTCATCTTTCCCACAAGGGAGCCTAAAGGGGATGGGTATTTCTTCACTTGTCCAATGACACCCCCTGTGAAGCGTCAGACATCGAAATTGCACAGTTCAAAGTGTGTGTTGGCAGGGTTCATGGTCATTTCCGTCAAGCACCAAAGTGTTTGTTGAGTGTGCTTTGTTCCAAACTCGGGTCAGATACTCGGTCAGGCTGGGGCTTTTGATTCCGCTCCCGTCGAATCAGTTGGAGCACCTTAAAACGGCCCCCGTGACCTTTGGCTACTTGGGTCACAACCCTTTTGTGGAGATCCCAACCCGGACTGGGTCAACGGTAAACTTCAACAAGTTTAAATCCTCGGTTGGCGCTTCAACATTGACCAGGTGTCAGCATGTGGTTTGGTTTGGTTTGTTTCTTGCAAGGCTCGCATTTGGGTTATGTCGGGAAACCAAATCGACTCATGTTTGCGGGGTTCCTCTTGAAAACCGATCAAGTGGTTGGAATAGGAAGTACGGGGAGGCAGGCTTTTCTGGGTGTTCCTTTTGGAAGGTACGATGGCCCCCTAGTTTTCAGTCCCGGATCCTTGCTTTCTAAAAATGAGACCCTGATTAAGGCCTTGGTTGGAAGAAACCACAGGGAGGCGGGTAGCTAATGTCTATGAGATTGAAGCCAATGGCTGGTGGACATAACTCCCCGAATGATGTCCACGTCTGACTGGCCCAAAACAAAACACTTTGGTTGACCTCTTGGGCATTAGAGTCGTGACCGGAGATGTTAGCCGCTCTGCCTTTGGTTTGGTGGCTGCAGAGGGATATGATGCCGAGACCTTTTCAATAAGGGCTGTGTGTCCTTTATTTTCAGGGGCCCCTTTTCCCGACCAACAGTATAGATGATGGCCTTTGTTTATTTATTTCTTTTCCGACCAGCAATTGCGGAGCCTCGCTCGACTCATTGCACGGGTCGAGGGGGGCGATCGATCGATTTCAAGGGATGTCCGAGGATTTCCGGAGCAGGCGCAACCCCAAGGGCCTGAACCTCTACATCCCGCGCAGGAAGTCCTCGGATAGGCGCGGGCTTACCGGAGGGTCCATGGAGGGTTGGAGGCCACTTGGACCAGGAAGGTGTTCAGAAGCCTGAGGTCAAAGCCCTTCTTCCCTCAAGGAAGCTACTTTCATTGGAACTTAGGACTTCCCTGACTAAAGCCTTGAGGAAGGCTGGCATCCTTGGGCTTGGGGTTTGGGGTTCAGATCCCAGCTTGCTCTCTTCGCCTTTTTGGGCAAACGCCACTGATCGGGAGCAGAGCCCAGCAAGATTTGCACCTTGCCTTTCTTAGGCCGGCTCAAGCCTGAAGCCTGGTTCGATTTGCCAAATCCCACTCGGTGGTGGAACCTTTCCTGTTGACCTTACCTTTTACTATATTACCTTTTACTATATTACTTTTGGTTGCTAGAGATTTGGGGCTGAACCAGGACTGGGCGGATTCTCGTATATGGTTCGGCTTGACTAGCAACATGGTTGGCCACCTTCTTGCCAAGCATTGCGGGGGTGCTTTGACTGGAGGGTTAAAGGGGGTTTCTTCTGTTTGGTGAGCATTCAATCCAACAAGAACACAGCCTTATTGGAGGACTTCCTTCCCCAGCTTCTGGATTGTAAACCTTTTTTGGGTGATCAATCTAGCAGTAGTGGTTCTTTTTTGCACACTCAATCAGCTGACGTCACAGCCAACGTCCCACGACCAACCAGACCGTTCGCGCATCGCCAAATAAATCTCACCAACTTCCAAACTTCCGATGATCCAAAAATGCATCTTTGGCTCCCTACTGTGGATGGACGAAATCCATTTCAACATTGAGGTTTCAACCACGGCTTCAAAGTGGTGCGAAGTGGATTTTGTCCATTCACAATCTGGTTTGGCATCTGGTTTCCCCTATCGAAACAGGACCGGGCCAGAGGATCCGGTGAAATCTCGTCTGCCAGGCAGCATCTTTGCTGCCCTTGAACAAGTGAACTATGCACATTTTCTGTTGACCTTACTCACTCCCTAAGTTCCTGGATTGTAGACTTTTGGGGAAGACCATTTTGGTGGTAAATCAAAAGTTTGGACTTTTTTGGGCCAGTCCACTCCAACTAAACGGGCACTCCTTGTCAAATGGAAAGCCTCAAGTGCACAAACTCCTTTGAGTAGAGGACCAGCAGAATGTTGTGACCAGATTTATCGCATGACATCATAATATACTCCCCAACCAACAGACCGTGCATCTTGGGTTCCACGTCAATTTGCAGGGAGATCACTTTCCAGTGACCATCCCCCCCTGTACCAACCGGCTCGTTGCGCCAGGCAATATGCTCCAGGGCCCGGACCAAAGGTGCGTCCAAAGCAGGCAGGCCGTGTGGGCATGTTTTTGAGTTGGTAGCCTTGAGGTTGGTTTGAAGGGAAACCACAAGGAAAGCCACCAAAATAGGGGGCTCCAGGCGCTATGTGACATATACCTATCTCCCAGTCAGCTGATTAGTCTTCGCTTGGACCAGAGGGTTAAACATTCCAATGGATCTTGAAGCAGGAGGCGCGTCCACACATTGTCTACATCCCTTGTTCATCGCCTGGCGTAGGAGCCCTCATGATTTTCGTTTCAATCTGGGCCAGTTGTTTTTTCTTTAACTCCAGCAAAGCGACGAAATGATTCCATTTCCCGTTGGTTGCCTACTAGAGGGTTCTTCCACTTCCCGTTTTGGAACCTCTAAAAGTGGCAGCTTGAGTGGAAACCGCCAGTAAATTGCAACTGTTGCAGGGGACATCTATTGGCTCCTGTACTAGGGAACTGGATTTTTGTTTGGTGAACCCCCAGTCCCAAGGGGTGTGTGTGATGTGCTCATGCCTACGCCCAAGGTTACCCAAGTTGTTTTTTGCTTATGCATTTTGGATCTTGCAGTCCGAAGAGGTTGACATGCAAATCAAATTGGGTGTTTTCCCTATAAATTGAGGAAATTGCAGTGACCCCTGCACTAGGTCACCGGATTTGTTTGGGAGAACCACCAGTCCCCAGGGTGTTTTCCCACTGTTCGCCCGGGAGGTTCTCTCCTGCCTGGCGGCCGCGGAGCTGGAGGACTTTGTGACGCAACATCCGCCCGCGCAGCTGCACGCGGAGCAGCTCTGCGTCCGACTCGGAGGCAGGCGTTTTGGGCGCGCCTTAAGCGCGCCTGAAGCCCATGGCCTGAAGATGTGCTGAAAAATGATATATATATATATATGTGTTTTCCGCTTTTTGGCTTTAAAGGGAAGCTAATGACCTGAACATTGAATATTTATGTGTTTCGCTTTTTGGTGTTTTTTTGTTTTTTTTGTTGGGGCATCTATCACTACTGGACTTGTTTTTTTCCATGGGGCTTAAGGGGACAACCACCAATGTTGGGGTCCCTATTTTAAGATAGCCCCATTTCTGCTTGGAAAGGGCCAAACGCCTTAGAACCGATTCTTGCTGCGAGCGAAATCGGATCCCTGTTAAACTCATTCGCCCTTTTAAGTCGCTAAATATGACCAGAATTAATGCTTCTGGTTGGGGGGGCAACCGCTCAGGCAGCTGTGTCTAGTGGTTTGTTTCGGATGCAAGTCATTTGCAGATTCTGAGTTCCGCTTGTGCGAAAAGAGTGCCAAGAGAGTGCTATCCACGGCTGGCCCATTTCCCTTTGGAAAGAGGAGACTCTCAAACAGTCCTAGCTTGCTCACCAACCCAGGTGTAGAACGAGCGATTCCGGGCGCATGAGGGTCTTTCAGGGCTGCCTTCATTCAGTTGACCCATGTCCCTCGGTTGACACTAAGAAGACCTCCCTAGAGACTTCCAAAACCTTTGCAGTTCCTTTCCTGGGTTTTTTGTTTGGCCCCTTGGCAAGACCTTCGAGGAATTTCTTTAAGATGAATGGATGCCACCTTTGTCATCGTCCAGTTTTTCGAAACAGGCGCCATGAGATTTGGGTGGTACCTTGTATTGCTGGATGTATGATGCATGCGTGTACGTTTATGTATCTAGTCTACAGCCAGTACGCACGCGTTGACTGCGTGGAGCCATTGATACTTTTCGGATGCCCCACCCATCCCACAAGTGCCCAGCCCAGTGGATCTCAGTTACAACTACTTGATTGCTATTGGGTTGGATCTTAGACTGAAACTGTTTGGGAAATCAAGGGTTTGGCATCGAACCCACAAAGAGGTAAACTTTTTGCAGAGGGGTGAACAGCAGCCACTAGAACTTGGCAGCCACTTGCCATTTACCGGTAGTTTCGGCAGCATTTCTCTTTTGGTTTCGTGCGGGAGATGGAATAGTGGGTCCCACTTCCCGATTTTCTGGACATGCCTCGGAAGCCATCTATGTTTAGTGGCAAGCAACAAGTCTGGACTTTTCGGCCTGTTGGTATCGGAGGTATGGTGGTTCTATAACGCTTGGGTATTTACTGCCTTCAAGCTTACATTGGTGGTAAAATTCAGCCTGCATACCTCCAAGCCCCTCACCTTGAAAGTGGTTGACGATTCGGGTCCAACAAAATCGCGCTCGAGGCGCCATAGAAGTGCCGGACACCAAGGGCCTTTTGGAGGACGCGCTGAGGCAAAGCGCGCAGCGCGGGGTTGGTTGCATTGGCTGAAAGAAACGGTTCCTTTGTAGCGAACCCTTATTTGGGGTTGGCCTTTGATTTGTTTTCAAACAAGCAGTCATTCACTAATGCCATTTAGCTTGATGGATTGAGCCAGCGTTTTTTTACTTCCCTTCTTAGAGTTGGCTTTGGCGTGATTTCATCCTGAGCGACCTCCCATGCCTCTGCAACTCACTTAAAAAGCGACGTGAGTCCTAAGGGAGATGTGCGTGGAGCTCAGAAAGCGGGCTTGGGGATCCCTGCCGATCAGCGCCAGAGGTGTTCACCTGATTGAATCCCAAGCTGAGCGTTATTTGGAACACGCCGAAAGGTCTTGACAGGAAATGCCTACAGCGACCCTTCAGGCTCCAGGATTGTTAAAGTCCCGGAAAAGCGCCTCCCCCCCGACCCGCCCGGTTAGCCTTACACGGGCTAATCTGGGAGCCAATGGCCACTTTGGGAGGGACATGGGGGACGAGCAGGCCGCTCTCCAACCAGTCGGACTAGAAAATGGGCAGTCCACTTGTTGGCCCAACTCAAGTTGACGGGTTCTCAAAAGTACTCGGTCCCATTTATCCAAAAGTCGATTTCTGTGGATTTGACAGTTTTCCCCTGCTGGTCTATTTGTTGCCCTCATTTAGTACTCTTTGAATATCCTACACTGGTGGGTCACAAACGCCACATCCAAACAGTTTCCCGAATTTAGAGGGTTATTTTGATAAGGTGACTTTTTTTGCCGGTTCCCTACACCACGCGGTTGCTTAGGCTTGCAGACTTTTCGAGTTTACAGTGCAGAAGTTGGATTTATGACATATCCCGCTAACTTGCTTGTTCTTCGTAGAGAACAGGAGTGAATGACCTCATACCAAACCCAACCACTATTTGGGTCCAGGAGAAATGGTTGGCAGGTTCCTTCCAGCGCAATGGTTCAACAACTTTAAGCCCTGTGATCAACGATATATATATATATATAAATATATATATTATATACAGTGTTTTCTGCAAGGCATCTGCAAACCAAGTGGACACCGAACATCTGCAAATAAATATATTTCATGCAAAAAGTAAAAAGGTAGGCTCTGGGGGGGGGGGGGTGACCATATATATATATATATATATGTGATATATATATATATATCTGGTATATGTATTTTAAATATATATATATATATAGATATATATATCGTATGTGTATAGGGATGTTTAGAGTGTGTATATATATATATACATATAAATAAATAGTATGTGTATACTTATATACGCACTAGGTTTTTGGAGGGAACCCTTCTCAGTGTGGTTTAAAGGGAAAGCCAGTTTAGCCCCAGCTCTCCGCAGGCTGGAGAAGAGCGGCTCCCTCACCCAGGCCACCGCTGACGCCTCAGACTGAATCCATCGGGGCGCGCCCCGCGTGCCATGGGCCGTGAAGAACGAGCGCGGCGGGGTTCCAGCGGTTGGTTTGGTCAGAACGCGACCAACAAAAGATGGTTGACTTCACAGTTGGGTCAAGTTTTGTTTTGTTATTATTGTTTGAGTTGTTGTTGGTTCGGTTTTTAGGGGGCTGCAAAGGACAACCCATACCAAGGGTTGTAATGCCGATGAACGAAGGTTTCCCTTCGTACGCGAAGCTGAAAAGGGGTGCTGCCACAACAAGACCCTGATCAAAACTCAGAAACTAGGGGAGCTAATTGGTTTCCAGCTGGATTGGAAGATCTCCAAGCATCTGGGGTTGGATCTTTAGGTTTGGCGCTCTGGAATCGCACCTTTCGCCAGTGCTTGGAAACCTCACCCACCCGTGATTTGTGCACCTTTGGGGTGTACCTTTTATATTCCAGGATGTTTTAGGTAGACATAGGTAAACTGGTTTGCTAGAAGGCTATAATGGTTCTATCACATGCAAGCCAGTTTGCTATAAAGCCTCACTGGCTAAAAGTGCGATCCCAGCGCTCCATACCTACAGATCCAACCCCAGATGCTTGGAGATCTTCCAATCCCAATGAACACTAGGTGGGAACGCTTAAATCCTGAGCTCCCCTAGTTTCTGTTGTTGGGCAGCTTTGGAAGGAGCTGCCCAATGGTTCTAGCTTGCTACAGGCCTTTTGCCTTTGGGAGGCTACGCGGGTAACCTCACGCCCAGAAGTTCCTGCAGTGGCAAAAACGTTGGCTTTGCTTGGCCAATCCACTGAAGTGAGCCTGCGTTCCTTGCCTGGCAGAATGAGTTTGTCTCAACATAGGGAACCCCTCAAAATGGTTAGTGTCCGTTTGGTTTCCCTTCAAACCACCCCCTTTTGTGGGTACGCCTACAAGTCATGGGTAACTTCCCCATTCTTTCCAGGGATCCTTGTTTCTAGAAAACCACCGAAAACCCTGGGGAAATGTCTGAAAAGAATGGGTTTGATGAGAAGAAGACCCGAATGAGGTCGTGCAGCTGGCCAAGAAGTGGCAGATCCTTTCGGGCAAGTGGCTGCTCTCTGTGCCAGACTGGCGCATCGACGACCCTCGTCTCTTTCCTTTTTTTTCCGAGAGCGCGAGGCGTGTTGGCCTATCCTGCAGCTATAGGGCATCTTCAACAGAAACAACAGACAAGTTGGGGCCAACTATGAGGCGGAATCTGAACATATCCGTTCTAGTGTACCGGTTGGGCCGAGTCATGCTCCCCTGATGAGCTGTGAAACTTGCAACAGTTTGTAGATGAGTTTCTGCCTTATGGTTTAGTAAAGGTTCAAGAGATTGAACCAGTCAACTCAGCAGCTCAGTACGGCGAGCTCACTGGGACAAAAGGAGGTCACCCATGATGAAGATCTATGACCTTGGGATAAGGCCTTATTAAGGGCTTAATGAGGGTTTAGTTGGGCTTCCTCCCCCTCCCCTCCCCCCCAGCCCCCATGATAGTGGGCCATGTTTCCCCATAGTCTTTGCTTCGAGGCTCCCGGGCCCAGAGTTTTCGTTTGCGGGCGTGCGGGCATTGGCCCCACCGGCTTTTGTTCGGCGGACTCGCGGGGGCGACCTGGTGGCTTATTGGTTTGGCGTCTCGTCTGGGTTCCCCCCAGCCGGTCTGAAGGCGTGTGGCCTGGGATTTGTCAATTTTCGTGGAGAATCTTGGGGCCGCCAAGTTTGATGAAAACAATATATATATGTATATATCTATTAATATGTCGATTTATTTACCTTGTTGGTTTTGAAGGGAATGGATTTCGCTACCGGACATATGCCCTCATGTTTTCCAGGTGGGCTGAAGCAAATGAAAGTACTCTTTCGCCGGACTGAACCATTGTTTGTAACATGGCGGTATTTCGCATTGGCTCACACCCAGCTACAGTTTTTGAGCAGGGGGTAGCAGCCAGCAAGTTGTCCCTTGCGCTTTGCTTCCCTTGCCCTCTTACTTTTCGCCTAAATGAGACTCTCACATCTCAACTTGCTTTTGGTGGAATGAGAAGTATCGTGCTTTCCTTGGTCAATGGTTTGTTTGGGTCAACACGGATCAGAGTTTTCGCATGACTTCAAGCAATCATCCCTTGGTGCCGTGAACAGGGACGGCACAAACCTGCAATTCGTACTTGATTCTGTCAGGCCTTGATGTTTGTTTGGGGTGCATTGGGGCTAAGGCCCTGTCCATGGCTCGTTCGAATGGCACCCCTGGAGGTAAAGACTGTAATGTTGAAGGGCAGCGCTTGTCAGTTAGGACGGCCATTTTGGAAAAATACTTTTGGCTTTTCGTTTGGACTTGTTTGGCCAAGTCTCTCAGTGAGGGTTCCGTCTACCAATGTTTGTCCATTCATTTTCCCTTCAAACCTCAAGCGTATGTCAAGCAAGGCACTCCCTAGGAACCCCCCATGGAAGTATATTTTACGGCTGGTATGGACCGATTGGGGATTTGAATCCAAACCACCGAGCTCCAAACCACATTTTTGGGGGGAGGCTGAACTCACTTCCTGAGCTTCCTTGACTTTCTCATTTTTCAGTTTGAAACATTTGAGTGGTAAACAACAGGTTTGGTTACTTTTCTTGCTGGCGCTCAGCAATGAACCTGGGGATTCCCTCAAAGGACACCATAGGGGATGTTTTTTTGGGGGGTCAAAGCCTCATTCCCTGCTGAGCACCAGCAAGTTTTTGTTGGGCCATCTACCCGAATCCGTGGATCCGGTGTTTCTTGTTCTTGGGCTGTTTTTTTTTTACTAGGGCTGGTCCGCTGGTTGGCTGGTTGTTACCCCCCCTGGACGCCCTAGGAGCTCTTCGCCCTCAGCGCGCGGCGCTGGCGCGACGGGGACCTGCCGGGCTGCTGCCAGCTGCAGGTCTTCGCGCCGTCAAACGAGAACAGGCGCGGGGTGGCGCGGACCTACAGATTCACATGGCTGTGGGTCAAAACCAACGGTACCATTTTGGAGTAGGTGAATTCACCACCCATGTTGGAACCCATTTTAGTGGGGATTGGGATGTTCACTGGGGGTACGGACTTTTGACCCATGGTCACGTCAAGCCCCATGTTGGGGGGTCCATTTCCCAAAAGCGGCGCCTTTACAAATTGCGGGTTTCGGGGTCTGTGCTAATCTGTAGGTAAGTGGTAGCCTAGGTTAGAACCCAACTTAGAGGCTTCGCTCTACTTGTGCTTGCAAGTGAAATGGCCCCCCCAAACCAGCAAGCAACCCTTGACTATGGCCGGAACCTAGCCTATACCGGGGTTTTGTGGGTACATTCATTTGAGTCCCCTCGTCCAATTTGGACACACACACACACACACACGCTTCTGGAAAGATCATGTTGGTTAGCAAACAAACAACTCGAACTGTTTTGGCTGCCAATTCACTTACGATCAGCCTTCATTCTAGGGGAAGACCCGTCAGGAAGTGAGTTCCAAGCTCATCCCCCCCCCAGTTTCGAGAACTTCGTGCGTTTAGCATGGACCATTTTAGTCGAAGCAGCGTTCTATTGAAAGCATTGACTTTAGGGTTCTCTGCTGCTGGTTATGACACTCAGGGCCACTTTCTGTGTGAAATCGCCATGGGAATGGCCTGGTCTCTGTCAGAAAGACATACATGTTCCCATGAAGTCCAAGGCCTTCGGTGAGTTCCACACCTTTCCTTCTCTTGTGTGTTGGCGTCTTTAGCCCCAAAAGGGTTCCCTCGTTCCACCAGGGTCGCTGCTTGTTGTAACCAACTTGGGGGAGCTCAAGTCACGTCGATTCGCGAGGTACATGCTCAGTGCCCACGTGTCGGACTTCACTGACCGACAGCCCCTTGTTGTCCGAAAGGCAGAAGCTTTGGTCTTGGCGCACTTGCTAGCAGGTACAGCTCTGCAAGCTTCGGCTACGGGCCAGGTGAACATTCTGCGCGGTTTCCTTTTGAGGTTGGTTGCCCTTAATGCAACCTCTTGGAGACCCGAAACTATAATGGAACCCCGAACAGGGACCCCAAAAAAGAGACTTTCCTGAGCTCCTAGATTTTCCTGGTTCCACATCACATTGAAGGATGCCCTAAAGATTAAAAAAAAGAAAAAGAAAAAGACACAAAAAACAACAAGGGAACGCCCGTTTCGCCCAGAATTTGGCAATCTTTTTCGAGTCCACCTGCACGACCGCATACCCGGAGTGCATTCCCTGAGTTGTCCAAGTGCACCAAGCCCTCGCCACATAACATTGGCCAAACCCTCATAGCGCAGTGCTCAGGGTGGAGCGCAACAGCCAAGAACAGTGGCCCAAAACAGTCCCCTTGTTGAACCCCTGCCTCCGAGAACACCACATGCCCCTGGCAAAGCAACCTCGAAGGCTCGCCGTAGCACCACTTCGCAAAAGCTGCTAGGTCGGGGAAGTGGACCCGCACCAAACGCAGCATCCCTAGGCAACCAAAAAAGGAACTTCTTGGCCCTGTCGTTCGGTTATGCCGAGTTACTTTCCCTAAGGCCAGCACACGTGACTCAGTGCGCAGGCATTTGTACGAGTCAGGCTTGGGCTCACCCCTTAACACATGTTTAAGCAACTGTTCAGACAAGCTCCTGTTGGTTTCCCAAAGGCGGCCAGCAGTTGTCTAAACACCTGCTGCCAGCTGGTCACACATATGTGTTATCAGAGTCCATATTTTGTGTGGTCATGAGGGCCCCCCCCTGTGGAGTGGTTGTGGTTGGTGACACCGAGGGAAACCATTCAAGCAGAATTCGGGCCAACCTGGCCAGACGCATGTTGCAACCAACGGAACCCAAGGGCAAAACATGTTTTGGCCCAATCCCAGGCGACCCACAAAAACAAACCACCGAAGCCACCAAATGTTTGACCCAAACAAACCCCCCAAAAAAACCTTGGGAAAACTCTGGGAAACCTACCTTATGGTGGATGGACGAAATCCTGCACCACTTTGAAACCATCGGAAACCCTTGTTTGTTGGTATCTACAGGGGAATCATAAAGTTTCTCAGGTGGTGCGAATTGGATTTCAACCGTCCACAGTATTTCTGACTTGTCCAGACCCGCACTTTGCAAGCCAAAGAGGTAGCCAACCCAAAGAACAAACTGCCAAAAAACACCAAAATGTTCAAACAAACTCCGAAAGAGAAAGCCAAGGGAAAGCTCTGGGAAACCTACCCTAGCTGACTTCGGTGGGCCAGTATAGCTGGTGATTTCTTGAAATCACCCCAAAGAGACGTAGCTTGGAGGGAATGTCTTTTCATCCAGAGATATATTGCTCTGGATCCTTTGGTCGTACCCTGTGGATGGACGAAATCCTGCACCACCTGAGAAATCCTGAAATGATGATTCCGTGATACCAACAAACGTTATGGCTTTAACCTTCGTGTTCTGCTTTTCTCATTTAGAGAATGATCCTGCCATCAACTGGGAAGGAAATGCTGTGTTCCCAATAGATCGGACTGAGCATGCAACTGCTGGGTTCTGTTTTGGCCTCCTGGCTTCGGTGGTATCCTAGCAGAGCCGTTGGCCCTTCTTTCAAGGAGGCCAAGAGAATCCACAGTACTGTGGATGGACAGAATCCTGCACCACTTGGAATTCATTGGAAACCATGGATTTTTGGTATTTACAGGGGAGTCATCCTTCCAGGGTTTCTTTGGTGCTGCGAAATGGATTTCGTCCATCCACAGTATCAACCCCCAAAGTACCCCAATTTCACCTCCTTCCCCAGAATTATCTCCCCTTCATTTTTTCTTTGGCTTTTTTGGGGTCCCCTTTGTTTTCCACTCACCAGGCATTTTTTGGTTTTAATTCCAGCGTAGCCTCGAGGTCAGTGATGTCGCTGGGCAAGTGCCTCCGCGCCGCGGCACGCCAGGGCCTTTGCTGCCCCTCCGGGCGCTGGGGGGAGCTGTTGGACGACCCCTTCGCATCGCCCGGGAAGAAGGCGATCGGGAATTGGATCGCGCCGGTTTGTCGGTTTGTCGGTTTGTTTGTTTGTTTGTTTGTTTGTTTGCTTGTTTTAACTGCTTGCTTGTTTGTTTGTTTTAATTGCTTGCTTGCTTGCTTGCTTGCTTGCTTGCTTGCTTGCTTGCTTGCTTGCTTGCTTGCTTGCTTGCTTGCTTGCTTGCTTGCTTGCTTGCTTGCTTGCTTGCTTTTTGTGTGTTTTGTTGGTTTGTTTTGTTGGTAGGTTAGGTAGGTTGGTTGGCATGTCACACAGGCCTTCAGCGAACTCAGACGTCTGCGGCGGTTGTTTCATTGTTTCCCTGTTCTGGAAGGGTTCTCTTTGAATTTGAGTGACTCAGATAAAGTAAGCAAACACACACGTTCTCATGTTTGTCTCCCATCCCAGCGCAAACACATGTGTGCCGCACTCCAGGCAAGTGTTGTCCCTTTCAGACTACTCTGTTGGCAAAAGGTATGCTTTGCCCCTTATAGTGGTAAGCGGGAACCCACAAATCAGTTTTTGCTGACCTGCAAAGAACGCTGGTGTTGCAAAACTTGGGCGTATGGTTTGGTATGAGCATTGAGAACACAACCACATATTACATCCCTTTGAGTGGCTGCACATGCCCCTTGTTTATGTCCTTGGGCTGTTGTACTTTGTGCAGACTTAAGCACGGCCAGGGTGAACTACAGTCCCAAAAGTTTCCGTTTGATCAGGCACCCTACCAACCCCCAAAGATCCCCTCAAAGCCAAGAAAGGCCTGGCGGTGGGTCTTTGAGGGGTAGTCGGGTCCCGGAAGTTAGGGCAAACCGACCGGCTTCGCGTCTCGCGGTTCCTCAACCGGAAGTCGGACTCCGATTTTGTCTGTTTGAAGAACGGGGGGTTCACGTACCTTCCGGGTCGTGATGCGAGTTTCCTTTTGGCTGGGTGATTAAAGTAGAAATCTGAGACTCCATGTCCATGTGATTGAACATTGGCCAATATGTGCCTTTGTTGAAATTACAGCCTTTTGGTTGGTTTTAGAGGGCATCTTGGGGGTCCCCTAAAAAATGACACCCATAATATGAGTTCTTGCTTGGTTGGACAAATTCAGACCTTATTTTTGCGCTTTAGGCGTGTTGAGGCCACTCTTGAAGGGCTTGACACGGCGTTTTTTGTGTCGGGAGGCTCTCCAAACATTTAGAGGGGTCCCTGGATCTGTTGAGACTATCTGAAAATGCTGTTCCTGAACTTCGTCTTTCGCAACCCTCCTGCCTGCCATGATTGTCTCACTTGCCCAAAGCGAATCGATTTTGACCTTTCAGCTTCCCCTTGTTTGACAATTTTTGGGCACGGCCCACAAGGTTCATCTCTAATTTCCAGAAGTGAGGTGTTGGAAAATAATCTAGATTTATGTTGGAAGTGTTTTGCTGAGAGGTGCATGGAACTACAAGACAGGTTCAAACCTGCAAGTCTTTCACAAAAGGAGGCTTTGTTTTTTGCGTATTTGGACTTTTGCAGCCAAATAGCCCATGTACTCTATTAATTAATCAATTTGGCCCCTTGCTCATAGCCAACGGGGAAATTGCCATAGCCCGTCCTAGCCAAAGAACTATTTCAGTGTCAGCTACTTTGGTGCCTTGCTGCACTTGCCCAAATACACGACCAATTCTTTGTGAATTCCCTGGAAAGGCGTCAGCGGAGTTGAGCTGAGTCCCGGGGTTTGGAAAAGGCGGTTCTGCTTGTGGGCTTGAATCGGAGGTGCCGAACTCAAGTCTCAATTTGCGGCTTCCCTTTGGTTTCCCTTTCGAAGTCGGAAAAGGGCACCTAAGTAGAGACACCAATTGGGAGATTACAAAAAAGCCTGGTTGGTGAATCGGGGAACACCTATTAATGAAACCAGTTAGTTACTTGGGGGTCAACATGATATTGCTCATAGCACATATCCTTTGGAGGCAAAGCAGGGTGCGCCGCCGGCAAAAGACGGCCTTTTGAGCGAACTCACGGCCAGGTGTCACTGGTGTTTAAGCCGGAGGTGTTTTCGCGCCTGAACTTGAACAAGAAGAACCCCTACGGCATCAAGACCACACTGTATATGCTGGACCTCTAGACTCGCTGAAGTTCCTGGATTTCATGCTTGTTGAAAGGCTTTTTAGCGTTAAACTAGACGTCCCAGTTGCCCAATGCCATTTATCTAAAGCTTACTCTCGTTTGGAGTGAGAGTGCCAGTCAAGTAGGCTTCCTCTCTTCTATCATTCTAGCCTGCCATGCCTCGCCTGCCAGTCTGTGCGCGGCTTGCCTCACATGGGGCCCAAGGATGGAGTTATGTTTTGCCGGTGTTTGGGTGAGTTTCAAAGTCACATGAGCTTAAACTCGTGCATCCTGCACAAGCAGTGAACTACCACTACCTATTCTTAGTGGAAGCCAAGCACGCTTAACCACGCTTTGGGCCCTTTGGGGCAATGACACATGGGGGAAACTTCCCAAGTGTCCCCGCTCCCCATTTAAGGGCATCCCTCAGCAGTTGCCTCGCAGTGTACATAGTTTGCATCACGTCAAAGGAAAGGTGCGTGCCCCGAGGGTTGCGTGCCCCATGTATTCCCTGCAAACCCGGCCGTTACAACGTACAAACGAAGTATAGGAGGGTATGTAAGGGTATGTTTTTCGGGCGCACACCCCAGGTATTGCCCATGAAGCCGTCACTTTGCGTGGCTCACTTGCCCAAAGCGACTCAACCTGGATTCCCAGAATTTAGTCCACTGGGGCTTATCTCAGCCATGTTTGTCCAGGTCCCTTGGTTGCAAGTGAGCTCATTCAAGATGTACAGCGGCCTCTTGTCAGGCGCTCGCGGCAGAAAAGTGGGCACGGTGATTGAGAAGACAGACACGTGTGTCAACTTGTGGGAATTCGGTTGCGCGTTCTGAAGAATCGTTCCCAAAGCTGACCTTTATTCCCTTTGCTTTGCTCTTGGCCCATTGCCCAAAAGCTGAAGCTTGTATTTTGGTTGGTTCGCATTAGTCGTTTTAGTTCCCCTGGACAAGTGACGATGTGTTCAATCGTCACAGACAGGCCAACATCCAGAAGGTCACCCAAATTCCTGGGAAGGCTGTGGACTGGTTGGACCCCGCGTTTCGGGAAGGTTCCCTATCTGTGGAACGTTGAAATTCAGGTCAGTTGTTTTCTGAAGCACACTCCATTTGGTCAAAAGAGTTGGCAGCCACTTGCACGCTTCAGGGACGTGAGATTGGAGGTATCACAGTGTTGACTCCATTTTCTACAGCGCTGAAAGCCGACCTTTTCGGAACTCGGTGTCCGGTTTTTGGCTATAGATCATCCTTGCACCAAAGTCACGTTTTGGGTTCGGACGCGATGGACATCATTAAGGAGAATCCAAGTCGTTGCCCCTACAGGTGAAAGGGAATTCACGTTTTATATGACCAAACAGCGTGTACTGTTTGAATTTGTGCTAAAGGAACCCAAAGGGGATGGAACACATAACTTCTTTACACGCCCTAGTCATCGGTCGCTCAATTGTTGCATGATCATGCGACTACTGCCATGTCAAAATAGCGCCACGACCATACCCGCTCTCGTGAGTGCTGAGGAGAGGTCACACTCAGGGTCCGCCCCAACCAGTTTGACGATAGTTGTGACGCCTCTAATCTCTACCCATGACATGGTTGTTGTTGAGAAACATTTTACATGTTTGCTTATTGTGGTTTAGTGGGAAATCCTCACTAAACTGCAAACAATATTTTTGCTCCCCTTCCAACGTCAACCAAGATGAGGGGACTTCTTACCCAACGAAGCTAATTTACACGTGCCCTTTGTCCATGAGGGGGCCTTTGTGAGGCTTCAAGGCATAAGCTTGCCCAAAGCATTAGCACCCACCTTTTGAGCGCTTTTTGGATGGTGTCTAAAGGGAAGCCTCAATTAGGGCATTCGGGCTGAACATTGGTGTTAATTCACGTGTTTTTGCAATGTTACCTGCCCAAAAGACAGTATGAAGAAGGTATTGACCGCAGCAACCTTTGATGCAAGCCCCGTTGGTGAGTTCTAGCTTGCAACAAGCTTGTGCCCAAGTTGGGAGATTGAGAGCAGGGGTTCTTTTCCAGAATGGTTTTGAACTAACTTGTCGGAAACGAATTGCGGGATGTGTTTTGTTTGTTTTGCTTGTGAAAGGATCACATTTTGTGGGAAGACCAGCCCAGTTTAATCTCAAGCCATGAGTTGCCACAATTCAGGGGGCCCTGTTTTTTGGACATGGTTTGGGTTGGAGAAGCGGGCTTCAGGTTGGAAAGCAGGTTGGCGCGAGCCTAACTGGGAATCTCTCGCCCTTGGCTCAAAGATGTGTAGCCCATGGCGACGATTTGGCGAACTCTGGCGACCAGTTGCCGACAGCCAAAGGGTGAACCAAGAAACTTGATGGGGAGGTGTGTCAGATTTTTTTCTCCGGACCCATGTGCATCCAGGTCATTATCACGTTGCCAAGGCTTTAACATAAGAGAACCATGAGGTTTAGCATCATCTATGCTGTGATTTCCTTCGCGAACTTAAGGGCAGACCATCTGGGGAAGTCTCCCGCCTCGCGCCATGACCTTTAGGACAGCCTCGCTGGCCGGCTTCGGTTGAACTCCTTGCGACTCACTTGGCCGGCGGCTGGACCTTAGACTGTTTGGAACAAACATGGCGGTTGTCAAGAATCACTGACTTCTTTTTGCCGAACTCGAGCAATTTTTGTGGACGTTGTGTTTGCTTTCCAGTTGCCCCAGCCTCTGATGTAATGGTCCTTCGGGTAAGTGAGCAGGCGCCAAATATGGTGAAGGGGCGTGCTGAAGGATTGGGATTCGGGATGTCACCTGGGCTCAGTTTCTTGGAACGCTGCGCCAGGGGATGACTTTTCGCCAACGCGAATTGACCTGTTGAGTTAACCTTTGTGGAGTTGTCACTGATCTTAATTCAAGGCAACCCAACAGATGGTCACCTGTTGTTGCCAGGTCCTTTGGTTGCAAGTGAGTCAAACATAGTCAAACAAGAACCAGGAGTTGAAATGCGCAACTCACCAATCAAGAGCGAGCTTGCGGACCATCCAAGTGCACCATGTTTTCTGAGCATTTGGCTAGCCTTCTGGCCAAAGCTAGTCGGTTTATGGGATGCCTGTCGATTTCAATGAGGCTTGGGCTTCCCCTAACGCTATCAGCGCGAGAAGAGATTACTTTCGGTTGCAGATGCATTCAGCAAATGAGAGCACGAGGGACCCGACATTGAATTCTTGAAGAAAACTGACCCAAAGCCACCCCAGCCGCCCGTACGGCAGGCAGCCTAATGGCCGGATTCTGTGACAGTGACAGAAGTCACGGGGATGGACATATCCAAGATGATAGATCGAACTGAGCATGCAACTGCTGGGTTCTGTTTTGCTTGTTTCCAGGAGGAATCCAAGAGACTTTGGGGCGTTTGTGGCGTTCCAGTGTGTTCGGTTTTTCCCGTTTCTTGGGACAGCTTTGCCCCCGTTGAAACCCGTCCAGACTTGCGAGGAGCCTGGTCTTTGCATCGCTGCTTTATCCGACGCTGGCTGCGCTGGGGGAGGACAGAAAGCACCCACCTCGCATCGTCGGTTTCTGCATGGTTTCTTGCCGCTTCCAAAGGAAATTTAGATAGCCCTCATTTAGCCAGAAACATAAATAAAGATGAAGTACTGCAATTTGCATTTTTCAGTGGCTGTTGGGCAGCAGAGCTTAATAGTTGGGGTGGGGTTCAGTAGTTGGTAATTTGCTCATATTTGCTCCCATGATCATGGCTAGATCTGGTGTCTAACATGCATACCCCACAACCCTGTCTAAATTTGACGCCACAAGTGCAACCCCATTCTATTTGAATGGCCCTTACAGTTGCCATAGCTTCCCTAACACACATTATTATTATTATTGTTATTATTATTATTATTGTTATTATTATTATTATTATGATTATTATTATTATTATTATTGTTATTGTTATTGTTATTGTTATTGTTATTGTTATTCTTCTTATTATTATGATTATTACAAGTAAGGTCCGGCAGAGCCGGGGGGCGGAAGTTTCAAAGCAGTGAACAACTATAGTTTGGAGAACTGTCCTTGGCCCCTTGCTTCTCTCTCTCTCTCTCTCTTTTTCTCTCTTTCTCTCTTTCTCTCTTTCTCTCTTTCTCTTTCTCTTTCTGTTTCTCTGTCTCTTTCTCTCTCTTTCTATCTATCTCTCTAGCTATCTCTATATCTGTTTATTGATCTATCTATCTACCCATCTTTCTCTGCACTTAAAAGTTGCGATGTTCAATCCCCGAAAGTTGACTTCGCGTACTACTTTCGTACTTAAAAGTTGCGATTTTCGAGCCCCAGCTGCGAAACTGGACTTCACGTACTACTTTCGTAATTAAAAGTTGCGATTTTCGAGCCCCAGCTACGAAAGTGGACTTCGCGTACTACTTTCGTACTAAAAGTCGCGATTTTCGAGCCCCAGCTGCGAAAGTGGACTTTGCGTACTACTTTCGTACTTAAAAGTTGCGATTTTCAAGCCCCGGCTGCGAAAGTGGACTTTGCGCACTACTTTCGTACTTAAAAGTTGCGATTTTCAAGCCCCAGCTGCGAAAGTTGACTTCGCGTACTACTTTCGTACTTAAAAGTTGCGATTTATCTATAGATCTACCTATCTATCTACCTCTCTATCTCCTATCTATCTATCTACCTCTCTATTTATTTATCTCTCTATCTCTTTATCTATCTAGCTAGTTATTTGTCTATCTATCTACAAATCTATCTATCTCTGTCTATCTCTGTTTCTCTATCTCTTTCTATCTATTTCTCTAGCTATCTCTATATCTGTTTATTGATCTATCTATCTACCCATCTTTCTCTGCACTTAAAAGTTGCGATGTTCAATCCCCGAAAGTTGACTTCGCGTACTACTTTCGTACTTAAAAGTTGCGATTTTCGAGCCCCAGCTGCGAAACTGGACTTCACGTACTACTTTCGTAGTTAAAAGTTGCGATTTTCGAGCCCCAGCTACGAAAGTGGACTTCGCGTACTACTTTCGTACTAAAAAGTCGCGATTTTCGAGCCCCAGCTGCGAAAGTGGACTTTGCGTACTACTTTCGTACTTAAAAGTTGCGATTTTCAAGCCCCGGCTGCGAAAGTGGACTTTGCGCACTACTTTCGTACTTAAAAGTTGCGATTTTCAAGCCCCAGCTGCGAAAGTTGACTTCGCGTACTACTTTCGTACTTAAAAGTTGCGATTTATCTATAGATCTACCTATCTATCTACCTCTCTATCTCCTATCTATCTATCTACCTCTCTATTTATTTATCTCTCTATCTCTTTATCTATCTAGCTAGTTATTTGTCTATCTATCTACAAATCTATCTATCTCTGTCTATCTCTGTTTCTCTATCTCTTTCTATCTATTTCTCTAGCTATCTCTATATCTGTTTATTGATCTATCTATCTACCCATCTTTCTCTGCACTTAAAAGTTGCGATGTTCAATCCCCGAAAGTTGACTTCGCGTACTACTTTCGTAAAGTTGCGATTTTCGAGCCCCAGCTGCGAAACTGGACTTCACGTACTACTTTCGTAGTTAAAAGTTGCGATTTTCGAGCCCCAGCTACGAAAGTGGACTTCGCGTACTACTTTCGTACTAAAAAGTCGCGATTTTCGAGCCCCAGCTGCGAAAGTGGACTTTGCGTACTACTTTCGTACTTAAAAGTTGCGATTTTCAAGCCCCGGCTGCGAAAGTGGACTTTGCGCACTACTTTCGTACTTAAAAGTTGCGATTTTCAAGCCCCAGCTGCGAAAGTTGACTTCGCGTACTACTTTCGTACTTAAAAGTTGCGATTTTCGAGCCCCGGCTGCGAAAGTTGACCTTGCAAAAATGCTGCGCCTGCCACCAAATCTGTGCTTGACCTTGCTAAAGTGCTGCGCCTGCCACAAAATCTGTACTTGACCTTGCGAAAGTGCTGCGCGTGCCACGAATTTTGCACTTGACCTTGCGAAAGTGCTGCGCCTGCCACGAAATCTATACTTGACCTTGCGAAAGTGCTGCGCCTGCCACGAAATCTATACTTGACCTTGCGAAAGTGCTGCGCCTGCCACGCAATTCAAACCTTGCGAAACCTTCGCGCGGCCGTGCCAATGGGCCCGTCTCCGAGACCGTTCCGAGACCCGTTCCGAGACCGTTCCGAGACCGCCTCCGTACAGGCGTCGCAGCCGAGGTGGTTTGCGCACAGTCCGGAAGCCCAATTCACGCACAGCGCCAACGTTTTCTGCATCTTGCCATCCCCCAGCTCGCAGAGAGTGCTTGCGAAAGTGCTGCGCCTGCCACGAAATCTATACTTGAGAAAGCTATCTACGTGTTAAGCTGGCTATATGTCAAAGCTATCTATCTGTCATGCAAGCCTATTGGAAAGCTATCTATCTGTCAAGCTAGCTATATGTCAAAGCTATCTATCTGTCATGCAAGCCTATTGGAAAGCTATCTATCTGTCAAGCTAGCTATATGTCAAAGCTATCTATTTGTCATGCAAGCCTATTGGAAAGCTATCTATCTGTCAAGCTAGCTATATGTCAAAGCTATCTATCTGTCAAGCTAGCTATATGTCAAAGCTATCTATTTGTTCTCCGTGCTACCTGTCATAGCTATATGTCAAAGCAGCTAGCTCATTTAGTTCCAGTACTACGGAAGTTTCTTGTTAAACTTCCTTTGATTATTATTATTATTATTACTATTATTATTATTATTATTATTATTATTATTATATATATATATATACTTCTTTTTTGGAGCCACACATTGAAAGGTTTGATATTGATGCTGTGATTCTCCACGGGGCATATCTTAGAGCTGGACTTCACTCAGCCACCTCATATTGTTCCATCATATGTGCATACCTTGGAATGGCGCGCGCTGGGCACTTGTTGCATGACAGGCCCAGGCAAAGCCTGGCTGCGACTTACCTTCATGTTTGGTCCAGGGTGTTTGTGGAATGCATGGACTTAGAGCTGGCTGGAGGGTACGGTTTCGCGTGGGGAAACCCAAAGGAACATCATTTGGGGGTCCAGTCCCCTGAAAAAGGTCATGTTCCAATTTTTGGTTACCCCCCAGGTAGACTGTCCCGCAAATCCCGCACTGGGTTCAAGTCTACCGTGGGGTGATCCAAAACCAACAGGGAACCGCTGTGTGGTTCCTTTGGTTTCTCTTGTTAACCATATGCAAAAAGTGCACCCTTAAGAATCATGACAGGATATTTGTCTGGTTCTTGTTATTTTTTGCTTCTCAGGTTCTGTTTATTTTGTGGGGGACGTCAGCCATGTTTACACTTATGCACAGAGGTCCGGCGCCTTTAGAAAAATCACACACTGGTTTTCAGCCTACTGCGGTGATTAAAGGATAGAACTTAGAGCCTAGGCGACGCAGTAGAAGACCTGGCCGGGCCATCAGAGTTGGGGCGGTGCAAATCTCCCGGGTACCACCGGAACTGCTCACGCCGTCCTGTGGACAAGTCTGGCTGGAACTTAGAACCGTACCTGTTGACCCCAAATGAGGATGGTACCCCAACGCCCAAACCACTGAACCAAACCATCAATTGGGGGTAAGGTGCTCCCGGAATATGCTGTGCTTCGGTTCCAAAACCTGAAACGTGCTTAAATGGTCTGGGTGTTAGCCGAATGGTTTGCAACCCTGGTTACCGGGGCCTTAGGACCATGGTAAGTGGGTTGCAATCAGGCTTAATCGCCGCTTTTGGTTAATCAGAGGGTCCCCCCCCCTCTCAGCCCCTCCCCCGGATTAGTGGGAGGATTTATTCTCTTCAAAGCTGCTGACCACTTTAGGGGCCTTAGGACCATGGTAAGTGGGTTGTACTAGCCAGATAGCTTCGCTTTTTTTGCAAACCGCGAGGAGTGCCAAAGATATTTGAACGTGAAGGGCTTGAACTCCCCCAGCGACCTCGCAGAGCAACTGGCGACGGCCGAGCCCCTCGGGTTGCCATTGGGCAGGGTGCCGAATGGGGAAAGGTGAGTTGCATCAAACCAGGGAGAGCCAAGCATGTAGTTTGTTTCCTTTGGTTATGCCAAATATGTCGTTTTTTTCCTTTGGTTTTCCTTTTAAAGCAAAATCCAGGCAGCGAAAATGCTTTGTTCCCTTTTGGTTTCCCTTTAAACCAACCACACAAAGGATAGGAACTTGTTTGACGCGGCACAAGCTGATTTTGAGTAAATCGGCCCTGGACCAAATGGGCAGGCCCTTGTTGCCAACAAGGGTCACAACAATTAGACAGGGTTAACGGCCTAGATGCTTTGAGGTCAAGAGAAGTGGTTAGGAAGCATCCACGGATTTTAGCGACTGTTGGCTTCCACCATGTAAGTAGGTTGAATTCGCCAGGATTCATGATTCCGTCCTTGGCTTTGCGACTTGCGTTTTGCTACCCAATCCCAGGACTGGCTCAATGCACCAAGCCCACTGCAAAAGGGAAACACGGCCTCCGGTCATCACCCCTTCCGAATGCCCTATTTCAAGCAACCAGATCCTTGTTGGGAACCCACATGGTTGGTTTCCTTCGGGCTCCCTTTCAGCCAACCATCATAGAAAAAGCATTCCCCTGCAATCATGACTGAGTTCGGTTTTAAATTGCCCCACAACTCCATTCTGTTAGACTCTGATTCATCCGGAGTCTTGTGATAAACAGAGGTGGTTCCCCTTGAAGTGGGGAATAAAATCCTTTTAGGGGAATTACTCTGATCGGATTGGTTCGAGGTTAGCATTGATCATTTAGCCCCTATTGCCCAGAAAGAAGACTGCCCTCACTTCAACATGTTTTATTTACTACGCATTGTTGAGAGGGTATTCAGCAAATATTTTTCAGGGTACCCTCCACAAACACGCCTCATCAGTGGAGTTCCCAAGTAGTCTCAACAAACGTAATAAATATATATATATATACACACTTATACAACGTCAGAAAGAACGGAGACATAATAATACCTACCTGCATGCATGCATGCATGCATGCATGCATGCATACATACATACATACATTCCTACATTCCTACATACATACATACATACATACGTACGTACGTACGTACGTACGTACGTACGTACGTACATACGTGCATACGCGCATACGTACATACGTACATACGTACATACATACATGCATACATACATACATACATACATACATACATACATACATACATACATACATGCGCACACACACACACACCTACACACACACACACACACACACCTACACACACACCTACATGCATACATTACATTACAGTACAGTACATTACATTACATTGCATTGCATTGCATTGCATTGCATTGCATTACATTACATACATACATAAATTCACCTAGACTGCACATATATTGAGAGAGATTCAACAAGTCTTGTCAGGGGCTAACCTCAACAAACACACCTCCTCTTGACCCAGACAGACCGCCCCCGAAGCAACCCCGACGGAGGGCCGGGCAGCCCACGCCTTGCCTGGAGAACGTCACGGCTCAGAACTTCTATGCGCCCAACCCCAAGCCCTCCATCCAAGGCTCGGGATCGAATGAAAACCCGGAGCTTGGCTGATCCTTGCCGGAGAGAACATGGCACAGGGGTCCCTAGAGGAAATCTATCTTCCAGGGACCCTACAGATGTTAGTGGGAGGGAGGTTTGTTATGCATTTGCTGAGAAGAAGATATCGTTGATTTGCACTTGCATAGGTGTCCTTTTCAGGTGGGGCGACCAACTTTGGACACTCACAACCATAGGTCTCCTTTGTAGGTCTTTCCATTTCCTGAAAAGATGTTTTTTAGTTCCATCCTGTTGGCTTTCATTTCTACTGGGAATAGTTTATGTTTAGGGGCTTAAGCAAATGGAGATGAACTTACCCAAAGGGAGACCAGAAGAAGATGCGGCATTTTGATTTGTCAGGCCTATGTAGCACCCAGTTCCTACGCCTGCCTATGGCGAGCCTATTTGGGGTCCTATGGTTGTCACGGGCCCCACATAGGGCCACCCCCATCCCTATACGGGCTAATGGAGACAAACAGTCTGCCTTTTGCTCTTTTTCTTTGCGGGTGGCTTCGGGCGCACAGATTCAGGTGTAAAACGAGCTCCCCATGAAGGTCCTTTCCTTTCAAATGGATGACTTATTGAATGTGCAATTGGAAGCTTTGTACATTGTCCGAAGCCAACAGAAGCTTTCATAAAGGTTGGTGGGGGTCCGTTTTGGACTTCTGGCTCATCTGTTTTCTGGTGACCTCGTTTCACACTTACATTTTCCTGATTTTATGTGTAAGGATTTGCTTGGACTTCCATGTGCCGCATTTGTGTTTCTGCTTCACAGGGTCATTTGGTTGCCCCCTATCTTGGCCGCGCTTCCGATCAGCCAGACTGAGCATAAGCATTGATTGGTAAGACTTGCGGCTAAAGAACAGAGTTTGGCTCCCCAAGCAGAACCGCATGGGCATGGCTGTGTCGTAATTATGTTCTGTCCAGACTCCCCTACTTGACACCCAGTGGAAACTTGCGAAGTGTCTCAAGATCCTTTCGCCTGCACAGGTGATGGCAAAGCACAGTCAAAGGAAAAGTTCACTAAAACTTGCGGGTGACTCACCTCTTATTCCAGGTGTTTCTCACAAACTCTTGCATCTCTGGCGCCCTTTCTCGTCTGGTTGGAAGGGTGCCCCTTTCAAACTGACTACCAACAACCGGCTTGCCTTTTCCCGTTCATTTTGGATATGAGTTGTGGATATGATTTGTGCAGGTTTCCCAGGTTACACACAGTTGCTCCGACCCCAAGGAATGACACACTACAAAGCTGCGCAATTGGTATTGGGTCGTTTTGTTTGCCTTTTACAGGGACCAGTGACAGGGTTGGAGCGGCCCTTTGACAGCCGGGTCCAGAAAAGTAAACATTTTGGGAGGTTCTCAAAACTACATTGGGCTGCTTCCCTGTACACGACCACACGCGCACTCACTGGCGGCGCTGCTTAGCGTGATCCATCTGCTAGGCGCGACGGACACGACCAACCTGAACTGTCGCTATGGCCGCCCAACTGTTGAGAGGCGGCTTTTACTTTTACTTACCTCCGCAATTTAGGCACACAAGCATACATCAAACCAGTTAAAAAGCTGATCAGCTGATTTAGAGGATATCAACCTTTTTTAAGCAGCTTGTTATATGCATCCTTTGAGGAAAGCTGCAATAACAGGGGAAAGGGTAACTGCCTTGATCTGTCATGCAAAACCAAGCAGCAGAAAAGTGATCATCAAGGTCAAATCAACATTGTCTATAGTTTATTGGCGGACATCCCGGGCTCACATAGCTTCCCACATACACGAAAACGAAGGGGGGCTCACCAATTTGCTCAGGCCCACAGGAACAGCATATTTGACAGGCACAACCCAGGTTAACTGTTATGGTAGCTGAATGCTCAGCACAGATCTACATGCGAGGGTGCCTGCACGTGTTGGCTTCATGAATCCAATCCCCCCTCCAACGGAAGGAGAACACGCAACGCTCACCGTCCCTTTCTGTAGTGTAATAGTGAGCATTCCGATTCTCAGCTGGTTTGGTGGGCTCCCTTTTGCGTGGCGGTTTTGCGTTGGTCTCATGGTGTTTCGAGAATGGCTGCGGCTGAGCCCTCAAACTGGCTTGTTGCTGTGGTACCCTTTGTTGGGATCCCACAGGGTTCATGCCCAAAACCCCTGGCGATTCCTCACAGAGTGCCAGCAACTTGAGGGAAGTGTTGACAAAGTATAGGGCTTCTATATTGGAAGCTATATTGGGCTATACGGGCTTCTATAGTGTTGACAAAGTAGTGTTGACAAGCTAGACAACCATGGGCTATATTGGGCTTCTACGCGTCACGTGTACACCTGGAAGCCTTGGGACGTCCAAAGCCACAATCGGAAAGACATTATTTTTGGTTGACGCTAGACAGCACCCCCCCAACCCCCAATTAGGGGCTGCAAAGGAGAGCTGTTTGTGTGGGGGGGGGAGGGGCGAGTTCAGCTTCTTTTACATCCGAACCTAAGTTTCTCAAAACCCTGGACGAACTACTGGTTTCGAGACTCGCTACTGTGTAGGTGGGTTTAAAGGGACACCAACAGAACAAAATGCACATATCCACTTTGAAAGCAGGGGATTGTTTCCCTAGACTTTGTAGACATGATCCCAATTGTTCAGTAGCACCCCCTAAATCGATTCTTGTTCAGTAAGCTTCTTTCTACACAGACGTGGCCCCACTTCGTTGTTCAATTGTTCAGGTCATGGGTTTTCCTCACTTAAGCACTTGGGGTATGAGATTGATCTATCAGTGTTCACCTAAGGAGTTTCATCATCTAAAATAGGCTCAGTGCTCCTTTTTGTTCTGGGGGGGTAGTTGGATCCGGGTGGTCGAGCGAATCGAGGCAACCCGCAGATGTGGCAGAGCTGTGGGGTCTGCTGCGGCCTGCGGCCCCACTTCAACTGGGTGGTTGCAACCTGCGAGGCATCGGTTTCGGCGGGTTTTCGTTCCAAACCAACCCAGGGGTGGAAGCGTTTGGCATATGGAGGCCCTCCTTCGGCCCTTTGACATGGGGGTGGCTTCGTTTTTTGTTTTTTTGTTGGATGCAAGTCTGTACAGTATTGAACCATCCGGCATTGGATGTGCGTGTGTGTGTGTGTGTGCGCGCGCGCATGTGTTTGTCTTTTCTGAGTGGGTGCAAGTCTGGGTTGAAATGGACACCAACAAGAAAAACAGAATCTGTTTTGGGGGTGCAAGTCCTTACTGGGGGCTGCGTGCCGGGCCATGATCACGTGCTCGTTGCCCCAGACCGGGGGTTTGACATTGGAGGCCATCACTGTTGGGTGAAGATCCCCGATTTGTTCCAGGCCGAGATGGATCCAGGGTCAGAATTGGGGGGTGTGCCTCTTTGAATCTTTGCCGTGCGCCAGGCCTCGAAAGGCGTCGGCCAATTTTGCTGGAACATGCCGAGTTGCCTCACCAGCGGCTCGCCCAAGATCAACTACGTGGCAGCATATCAGTTCGACGGCACGACGCTCAGCAGAAAATGTTTGAGTTTTTTTGTTGGGAACCCTTTTTCGGGTTGGCTTAGGGACATCAAGAGGAAACCAACCATTTGGGGGGGGTCCCCGAATTTTGAGAAACCCATTCTAAGCCATCGACTGCTACGAAATCGGACGGGCGGTGAGCGTCCCTTCCCTTAAAGCCTACCGCTTGGGGACTTTGAGTTACGAAATGGTTTTGATTCATATTTTGTTTGTGGGATTTTTAGCAAATCTATCGCTACTGGACACATTTTGCTGGAGTCCAGGGCAGTTAAGCAAATGGACGGCTACGCAAGCATGGTTTTCCTGCGTCCTGTTGCCTGAGGAACTTTGTTTTGATGGACGACTCGACGGCTGGGGAAATCAGCCCTGAAGGCGCGGACGCTTTGAGTGACTGCCATTGCAACGAGGGCCACTGATTCGTTTTTTCGCGTTTCCCGCAGGCCTGCTCAAACAGTTGTCCTAAGAGCCCTTTTGAGAAGCCCCTTTTCAAGGTTGCCAGGTCGGAAAGCATCCCATTGCAGATGCGCCCATGGCAGGGGGGTCAGAGGGCTGTTTCAGGTGGTGTCCCCAGGAAGTAATTTGTTTAGTGGCCGGGGGTGCTGGGTGCGGACCAGGCGTCCGCGGGAACTTCTGGCGGGGTGTTGGCTTCTCAGCGACTTGGCCCATGGAAATTCGCAGTGCGACAGGGTTCCTTGAAGGATCTTGAAAGATGCGGGTGTGTTTAAAGGGGACCCCCAAGTGTGGCTTTCCTTATGGCTTCTCTTTAAAGTCACAAAAAATGGTACCCTCAGGACATCGTTTCCAGGACTGAGGTGCTTCCTTTTCCCTTACTTTAGGCTTCAATTGTGCCACAGATGCGGAACAAGCTCCGCATTGTCAGTGATTATCAGGGCAAATGTTGCGGGGTATCAAAGTCAGAAACTGGATTTGTTTCATGCGCTCCTTGGTTTGTGGTTTGGATTGATGGTTTAGGTTTGGATTTGAACCCTTAGAGGGAAAATGGGAAGACGGCCCACCTCCACACCTCCAAACCACTTGGCTCCAAATCACCCTTTTTCAGTGAAGCTGTCCCTTCAGCCCAGCGCTTGGGTGACGTTGTTAAAATGAGGCCAGGCCAGTCCAGGCTCTTCAAACTTTAGTGGAGTCCTGGCCTTGGATCCCACTGGGTTGCTTCCGGTCCTTGTTTTCGAGGAGTTTCCCTTCATTTGACCCACAGTTTCCCTCAACTGCCACCAAATCCCATGGCCACTGTGGGTCTGGAGGGGTTTTGGGGCTGTGTTAAAGGAAAACCCGAAGAACCCACCTATTTTGGGTGTCCAGGTATTTTCAGGTAGACCCATCTATTTTTGGGTGGTACCCTTTTAGGTTCGGCTTCAGCGGCCAACGCAAGAGGAGATTGGAGACAAATGTGCCTGACGATCGCGCAACTTCAAGACTGTCACGGATCCAGTTTCCCCATCCCCTAACCTTCCCCTAGGAGTGGAGTCTTTAAGAGAGAATCGACCTATTCACCAGATCCACCCCCCATCCCCCCATCCCCCCATCCCCTCACCTCCCCCTGCGAGTGGAGGGTCGACGTGGTTCAGAAACTGAGGCCCTGAACAGCTCCTTCCAATGGTCCGGCGGAGACTGGACCACGAAGTACGCCCCCTGGGCTCGGGGCAGCGGCCCAGACGGCCCCCGCGCCTCGCCTCTGCCTCGTTGGACCTCGCCTCGTTTCGCCTCCTTCGCAGGTCTTCAACAGACCCCTTCTGACCATGGTCCCTTGGGAAAGGGGGGGGGGGTTGTGTTCAACAGGTGCTGAACTTGTTGTGTGTTTTCCCGCAAAGGTAGCGTATACTTGTTTTCCTACGGCTGGTGGGGCAACCCCTCCTGTTGGAGTCCTTTCATGAGGGAGCCTTTTGTCCTACTGAATCATCACCCAAACAAAGAGTAAGTCAATCAGCAATGGTCCGAAAGGGGATGTTTAAGCCACCCAACAAATGTAAATACAAGCACCGCAGTTTTCGAGGATATGTATGATTTGGGGAGGGGGGGGGAGGGGTCTGGGTTTCTTTGACTGCTCCATTGTCACGGCTGGACAGGCACGGGTACTTCCTAGGTAGGGACGCGTCCCCGCGGCTCTTCTATGGTTCTTCTGGGTGCTCTACTTACCTTTGCAGCAGGCAAGACTTTGTTCAAGAACCGTCCAGAACCCGCCCGCGCCCCCCAATGCATTGGCCATGATGTGCCCTTCTTTTTGTTGAATCACCTTTCTCTTTGACCATCCTTTGGCTTTTTTTGGGAACCTTCACGGGCAAATAGCCCGAAACAACACCAGTCTCAGGCGGAGTAACGCCGCCGGCGGGCCTGTGGATCCTGAGCGCAGAGAACTTCTACTACGGGGCCTTTTACATGCTCTCCCAGCTGGGGCTCAACTTGGAAGGGAAAGGCCCCGGCACGTTTTCGGAAGAGGGGGAGGGTTCCTCTACTGAAATAGACTACAGAAAAAGGGTACCCTTCTTCTAACCTCTCTACTGGAGGACCTAGAAACTCACCCGACCCCCATGGGGAGAGTTGGGTAGTTCCCCCAGTGCTGGGCTTCCTTGAAGGTCAAAGAACCGGCATGTTTCGAGGGATCTGGCAAGAGAGATCCTTTCAGGGATTGATTTTATTCCCGAAGCTTGGGGGGGGGGCAAGGCTCTTGAAGGAACCCGAATAAGGAACCAAGGGCTCTCAGCTACCCTAGCTTTGTTGGGAGTTGCCTTTTACGTTCATGCAAGGATTGGACCTGAGAAGCTCCCTGACATTGAAATGATCGACCCCAGCCGCCATGTAGACTCCCCGAGCTCCTGGACTTTCAATTTTTTGGGGAGATTGCGTTGGTACTACATAGGAAGTGTGTATTGTGTTCGGCCAATGCACTCAGGAAGTGAGTTGAGGGGAATCTGGTTCTTGGAGGGTTCTCAACGAAGTTGAGGTGGGAATGTGGGAAAGGATCTCCAAACCAATCCTTGAAATTCGTGCAGTGGTTTGGATTGGAGGTTTTGGGGTTTGAACCCTCTAGGAGAAAGCAACGCCCAACCTCCCAAGCACCAATTCACACTTTCTAGATGTGTTAAAGCAAGACCGATTTAGCACAAACAAATAAACAAACAATTGTTCAACTTTTAGCAAGCCGCTGAGCAGGGGCTGCCCCAGACTAATCAACCTTTCGGATTTACAGGGGGGTGTCCCCAACAAGAATGCTGGATCCCCGTTGAAGGAAGGACAGGTCACATGAAGGGGACATGGCATAGTTTCCAAGCACGTGTTTTCAATTTTGGCACAGGGTTCCCCGTAATCTATTCTGAGATCCCTTACCAATCTAGTTGCAGTCAACCCATTCGTAAAACAGGAAGTATGTACCATGGAAAGCCTACGTAATTTTACAAAATGTACCCCCTAAAGCTAAAAGGAATCTTCGTAGGGTCCTTGCCCCCCCCCCGTTGTTTTCTTCCCCCGTCGGGTGTTCAATTGTCCCTTGGGGAAAACCATGCCCAGAACGCCTCCAAGCCAAACCAAGCCACCAAGATGGAAGCAGAGGTTTGGTGGTTTCGGGGTCTCCTTTGGCTGCGTTTTTATTCCCACCTCCACCCACCCAACCAGAACCCCCCCCGCCCCCCCCCCCCAACCCAACCCACCCCTCCCCCCCCATTCCCATATGGACCGTTAGAGCCTTTCATATACCCCAAGTGCCCATGGCACCCCTCCCCCCCTCCCCCCCCCCCACTCCCCACTCCCCAACCCCCCACCCCACCCCCCCACCCAAGCCACCAGGCCAGCCCACGGGCACCAACTGCTGGATGTGGGAGCTCGACCCGGTGGAGGGCACAGCCGGCTGGAGCCCGGGCCAGCCCCTGCCCGGGAACGTGAACATGGACTACTCCACCGAGCCACCCGGGTCGGAGGTGGTCCAATTTGTGGGTGTCTTTGGTCTGGCTAGAACACATGGAGGGCAATGTGTGGTGTTTCTCTTTTTTGGTAGGCCTGGTTGTGGGGCCCTCAATGTTTTTTTCCAAAAAGACACCTGGTTGTTTCATAGGTGTCCGTTTGGGGATTGGTTTGGCTACAACTAGTTTGCTTGTGCCAGGGCCATCTCTTTGTCCCAAGGTCACCTATTATGATAGGTGTGCTTTTGTTTGTGGCTGTGGCAACGGATCTTTGGACTGAACAACTTTTGGTTGAAACAGTGGGTCTTTGGACTTTAGGTGGTCATGTTTTTGTTTTTGTTTTTTTGGCTGGTTTTGGTAGAAACGCCCTCCCAACAAATCGGCAGAAGTCAGCTTATCCCTGAGGACCCCTCACCCCTCTGAAACATATGGTTTCCGTACCAAAAGGGGAACCATCCCTGATGAGTGCAGGCTTTATCTAAGGTTGGCATTCCGGGGTGGGGTAGGGTGGGGATGGGGTAGGGTGGGGTGGGGGTGGGGTAGGGTGGGGTAGGGTGGGGATGGGTGGGGTCGGGTGGGGTGGGGTGGGGTCGTGGGGTAAGGGTGGGGGTGGGGTAGGGTGGGGAAGGGTGGGCATGGGTGGGTCCGGTGGGGTTAGGGTGGGGTTAGGGTGGGGTCGGGTGGGTAGGGTGGGGCAGAGTGGCGTAGGGTAGGGTTGGGTGTGGGGTAGGGTGGGGTGGGGGTGGGGTAGGGTGGGGTAGGGCGGGGTAGGGTGGGGGGGTGAGAGTGGCGTAGGGGGCAGAGTGGGATGGGGTAGGGTGGGGTGGGGGTGGGGTAGGTGGCGTAGGGTGGGGATGTGGTAGGGTGGGGATGGGGTAGGGTCGGGTGGGGTGGGGTGGGGTAGGGTGGGGATGGGGTAGGGCGGGGTGGGGGTGGGGTAGGGTAGGGGAAAAATACAGAAAGGGGATTTGAAGGAACTGAAAATCATTTCTGTATTTTTTCTATCAACCAATGAAAAACACATTGAAAAACCAAGTATCAACTAATAGATAAGGTTAATAAATCACAACCTTATTCATTCTAAGTAATTCCTAGAAAAGATACACACCTTATCCATTATTTTTTCACTACTTAACCTATTTCATTTTACTATTTGTTTACCCTTATTCATTTTATATTTTAAGTCTTTTTCCAATTCTCAGAAACTCCAGTTGTTCTTCATTTTTTCTTTTTACCTTATTCATTGTTCACGAATTTTTCACTCAGACTTAAAAATATGACTAAAACACATTTCCACCTAATAGTTCCACAAAACCAAACAGCCAAAGCACACAAGAAAATTAAGAAATATAATAATTCAATCTTTACAAACGATAAATATATTACAATTATAACATATAATAGTTTACATGTTATTATTATAGTATGATTATAATTTCAGTACAGGATAATAATTTAATTGACAAATCTCATTTATTTCATACATCATTTTAAAAATAATATTAATGTCTCTCACTGTATTTTTAACATTAAACTTTTTATAAATTTCAATATAATATTTGATATATTCTTTAATATCATCTCCTTTCTTTTGACTATGACACAACATCCTTAATATATCATAAATCATTTCATATTTTTTCTTACTGATTTTAAGAAACTGTTTAACATAAACGTAAGGTGGTAATTTATACACAGTTAAAAATATCAAAATGTCATCTTCTACATTTATATTATGTCTTCCTTTTAATCTCAACAAACATTTGATTATAGCTTGGTTATCTCTCCAGGTTTTACAATTTTCACATACATATTCTTCATCCATTGAATAATCAATAATATTATTTATTATTCCATTAGGTAAATTTAATTTATACAATTCCATATTTTCTTTTTTGAAGTGACAACAATCATAGCATTTTTTATTGATATAATTATTGATTTTATCACCGTTCATTTCTATCTTAATATATTAAGTCAATATTTCTTTAAGTCGTTTTCAAAGAACTTATTTTATAATGGCCGTAAGCAAGTGAGTTTACACTATCTATCCAATATTTTTTGTTTTCATAACTACTAAGAGCAATTTTTTTAGTTGTTATACTAAAAATTCTGTGGTTTTTACTTCTAATACTATTAAATGACTTATGTATAACCTCATTAGTTTTTAAAACCGTCTCAAACTCTTCATATTTCATTTGACGTCTTACTGTGCCTTTTGCTATTCCCTTACATTTCTTATATTTTTTATCATCACCATAAACTGAGTAAGCATAGCATTTAGGACGAAGAGCTATAAACCCTGTCATTATTTTACTTTTTAATTCATCCTTAAATTTACCTAATACTTTCTTGTTATTATCATCATAACATTTATGTTCCTTAGGATAATCTGAAAAATCTAATTCTTTTTTAATTGAATTAAGGTCTTCATAAATGTCATTGGTTTTAGTATGAAATACAAAACTATCAGTATCAGTATATACCATTTTAATATTGTCTCCATATTTAGGCTTCATAACGTCATAATAAAATTTATACATGTGTTGCTTACTCAAATCTAAAATACTCATCCCAATAAATATAGGTTTGTCTAGTTTCAACTTTGTTTTTTGCTTTTCAACTCCAACCAAATTTTCATTAATGATATGACTATGTTTGAAGTTAGGATTACTTACACACTTCATATATCTAGTTTCATCACTCACAACCTCAAAATCTAAATGTTTCCTTTTATCCTCCATTGTTTTTCCAAATATGGCATTGTTCATCAATTTGTAAACATCTTTCTCAAAATCATTTCTAGCATTCTTCCTCTTCTCAGTGTTAAACTCAATGTAAGGTTTTAAAACTTCTTTTTGTTCAAATTTAATTGCTCTATGAATTTTCTTAAGTTTTAACCCTTGCTTCAAATAAAATTGTAAGGTTCTTATATGGATTACATATTTTTCTTTATCATTTAAGTTCAATATTAATTTATTTGTTTTCTCATCCGTAGGTTTTTTATGATTTAAAAATTCATAAATTTCAATTTGTTTATCTGACAGCATGTCGGCTTTAACATTCATAACCTCAGGTGCCATTGGATAGTCATTGTGTAAATCGTGTAATTCTTTAGGATATTCTAAATCCACTTCTAGAATATATCCAATATTATTATTCTTATAATTAATAATGTCTTCTTCTTTTAATGTATCATCCCATTTTAGATTTTTATATGGCAGTTTTTGTATCATGCTTAACCCGTACAAATTATTAGCATCAAAATAGTTAATATAACTACTTTCTTTATTTTTATCATATTCTTCTCCCATGTATTTATTATTTGCTTCAACTTTTTTAGTAGAAACCATACACATCCCGCCTCTAAGTCCCGCTTCTATCATTTCATACATTTCTTGGTCATATATTAAATCAATCTCTACACCAGTCATTTTAAGCATAGCATCAAAAGCAAAGTTAGGCAATGTATAATAATAAGCAGGGTCCAATCCATAATATTTCATACATACATCTCTAAAATTTTCGAAAATGTCAGTCAATAATAATACATCAGTTTTCAAATATAAATCATGGTATTCACCCATATTCTTAATGTCGAAATGCTTCCATATAATTTTTGCCCTTTCATAGTCGTTAACACTTATACCTTCTTCACTCAACTGACTATAAAAATCATCCTTACTCGGTAATTGCTCATCATCAAATTTATCAAATGAATTCATGTAGTCATAAGGATAAACGCCTTTATCAGTTAATAAATCTAGACATTTCTCACTCTTAATCACATCATTTTTACTACTGAACCTAAAATTATCTTTCCAGTTTTCACGCAATAACCATTTACTTTTATCTTCTTCATCTGTATTATCATACTTACTCATTGAAACTAACTTATCTAATGAAGCAGTTAAAAACCCAAAAGTGTCTTTAACACTCAAACTTTCAAAACTGATATTAATAAATTTTTCACTGTTCTGAGCGATGACACCTATTTTATTGTTGTTACTTAATTTATCAGCATTTTGAATAATTAAATGACCGTCATAATTTTTCATGTTATGAAAGAATACTGGAATTTTAAAATATCTATTACAAAAATTAAGATTGCAAACATTATGAGCACAACCTCTATACTTACCTGTAAAATGACAATGGTCTCTAACTTTTCTATATTTCTCTGCTTCCTTGGCATTTTTATAGTTCATTCTAAACTTATCCCCACAAATAAAGCAGTTTTTAGCATTTTTAAAATCTTCTTTGTCTTCGTCAGTCATGTCTATTTTTTTGTTTTCTCCCATCTTCTCCTTTACTTCTGTCCTAATCTCATTAAGTTTTTGACAAAACACATCAACAGCATCTTTACCACGATACATAAATTCATAATTTGTATTATCAACAGCATTGACCATATTAAGCATAAAACCACATGGTTTATGCTCTTGATAAGAAAAAGTGTTTTTATCTTCATCTTCATCAGGCTTTTTCAGTTCCTCTGTCAAACATTCAAAATCAGCATATACAACAAAAGGACATCTTAACTTTTTGAAGTGATGCTTAAAACTCACTTTCTCATAAGGCTTAGGCATTACTATTTGTTGTCCTTCAACTTCCATGCATCCACTATCATAATGTTTATTTAATAATTCTTCATTTCTAAATCCATGATTACAATATTTACAAAAATAGGACTTACCATTATGATTACTTTTTTGATTATTAATAAGTCTGCTCAAACTTTTTATATACACATAATGACTGCAATCCTCCTCATCAACTCTCAACAAATCAAGATGACAAGAAGCATCTTTATTTTTCAATTTTCTACTAATAACAATTTGTTCATTATCATCAATTTCATAAACATTAATGGATATTGATTTATTATTTTCTTCAAATATATCTATATCATTATTATTAGCAGGAAAACTCACACCATCAAAAATCAAATCACTTGCTATCTTCTTGTAATGAAACATCTTTTCAGGGTGTGCTTTATCAC